TGGAAAGGTAATTTTGAAATCAACGGTACTCAAGAGTCAGAGTTAAAGTAGGATTGGGGAAGCTAGAAGTGGGTTGGGCTTGGTTCAATGGAGGCTGAGAATTGCTAAAATATAACATTTTGGATGAAACGTACCATTAGAGTAGAATTGTTAACATATAGCATTTTGACATTGTAGCTCATCTTAAAATATAGATTTAGCAACCCGAAATGACATTTTGCATTGGAGATGGTCTTACAAACTGGTGATGCTTGTGCATCATTTTGCATAGGTTTGATCATGGTTTGGATCGGTTCGGTTTGGGAATAAATCCTAAGCCGAACCGGTCCCCACGGATTGGTTAAAACTAAAACCGAACCGATCTGTGGGGGCATTCAATCTGAACCGAACCGATCTGTGGGGGCATTCAATCTGAACCAAACCGATCCATGAGTTAACGGGTCGGATCGGTTCCCCGAATTGGGCTGATTGGGCTTTTCAAACAACCCATTCAATTATGTCCCATTATCAGCATTCAATTATGGCCCATTAATAGCAATATATTAGATTTGTAAATCCATATACCTAATAATAATTATAAGATTAGATTTATATAACAGTAATAAAATTTCAAAATATATTTGGCACATATAAATATCACCACAAACTTAAATTACCTAATAACAAAAAAAAATTATAAATCATCCGGAAATGAAAATAATATTACAGTACCAAATATAAATTATCCAAAGAGAACAAAACAAAATACTTAATTAGTAGCCGAGTAGCTCATTAGCATAAAAAAAATAATAATTAATAAATAGCACAATAAAACATCAAACAACAATCTTGACTAGCAGCGAAACAAGTCTGAAAATGCCAGCATATCAAGTCTGAAAATGGTAGCAAAACAAGTCTGAAAATGGCAGCAAGTAAGGCTAGCTCTCAATTTGAATCTGAAACTGTAGTCACATCTACAAAATAACATAATTTAATTAAAAATCCACAATATGATATTTATTCATAAATTGAATAAAATGTAACAAATTGTTAACACTTACCAGAGTCGTACTGTTCAAGTTCGTCCAACTTTTCTTCAACATCAACTGTTTCTATTTTATATTTTTGTTGTTAAATTCATAAAAAAAATACTGAAATAAAATCATTACAAAAAATGTTGTATACAAAACAAAAATTAAAATTTTATTTTTGGTATTTCATATTACAAAAAATACCAAAACTGTTTATCTATTTTATCTACGAAATACGATCAATATCTTTCAAAACTCTTTTAATCTCATATTTGGTAACTTAAATCTAAAAGTAACAAATATATATATATATATATATATATATATATATATATATATATATATATATATATTAGATAAAATCATTGCAAAAAATTAAGTAAAATATTTGGTAACTTACAGGAACTTCTATACAAAACAAAAATAAAAATATGTAGATAAAATCATAAAATTAAATAGATCGACGTAAAATATTAAAATATGTAGATAAAATATAAAATTAAGTAGATCCATGTAAAAAATGTTCAGAGAAGAGGAGAATAATTAGATCTATGTAATAAATGTTCAGAGAAGAGGAGAATAAGAAGATCCATTCAAAAATCTTGTGAACTCATCGGAAAAGAGGTAGATCCAGTCGAAGAGGTCGCCGTTGCTTTGATACACAGAGGTCGCCGTTGCTTCGAATCTGGTGAACGATAGTTGAGATGTGTTGGATTGAGAGACGAGAGATTGGGAGGCGAGAGATGGGAGAGGTGAAGAGTGTCATAGACTCACAGAGGCGAGAGATTGGGAGAGGCGAAGAGGGTGAAGAGAAGAGGATGTGAGGGAGGCGCAACTGAAAGTCTGAAATGAGATTGGAGTAATGTCGTAATGAAGAGACGAGGCTAAGTTAAGGTTAGGTTAACATTAAAAAATAATAAATAAAGAAAAAATAAATAAATACGATATATCATTATATTGTATATATATATTAATATATTATTTAGTAACGGTTCGGTTCAGTTTGTCTAACGGTTCGGATTTGCAACGGTTCAGATTGGATCGGTTAATGGTTCGGATCGTATTTTTCAGCCTCCAATCCGTTAACCGAACCGCGGATACCGGATTGCAGATTTTTCAAACCATCACCGAACTATAAGATCTGAAAACCGAACCGAGCCACACGGATTGGTTCTCTCCTATGGTTTGATCCATTATAAGACGTGCCCCTTTTGTCCAAAAAAGTGGTTTTAGTGACCAAAATTGCCCATTAATCCATTTGAAGATTATGTTATTACTCTTGGAATGCTATCTAATTAAAAAAAAAAATTCTTATTTTAATATACCGAATTACCCTTCTCTGTAAATTAAATCCATATATTGTAATCTAAATGAAATTAAGTAAACACGAATACAAGTGAACCAAAATGCAATAGAGGGGCTTCTACAAAACAAGGTGGAGAGAAGAATAATTAAAGAAGAAGCTTGAACTTCAACCGAGCTTGTAAAACAATTGTTATATACGGGTTATACATGGGTATGTGTTATATATATATATATATACAAGAATGGAAGAAGGACATTCAAATTACATTATACCAACAAACCTAAATTACCAATCTATTACTTAAGGAGATCAAAATTTATATGGGGGTGCGCACACATATATTATTAAAGGCAAATAGTAAATTATAGGGGTACACAAAAGAACTGGAACCATGGAACCGGAACCGGAACTGTGAGAACCGGAACCTTTTTTCCCAGTTCTCAAGGTTCCGGTTCTTAATTTCGGAACCATGAGTGTACGGTTACAGTTCCAGCCAGTGGGAACCGGTAAGAACCGGAACCGTATATATATTTAATTGGTCATTTTAAACTAAAGGCCTATTACAAGCAGCCACGTGTCTGAACTTGCCTTTCGTTCTCACTATTCTCTTAGATCTGAACTTCGCCTCCATCTCTATTCTCTCGACTCTGAACTTGCCTTTCATTCTCAAATCTAAACTTCGCCTCCATCTGTATTCTTTTGACTCTGAACCTGCCTTTCATTCTTAGATCTGAACTTCGCCTCCATCTCTATTCTCTCGACTCTAAACTTGCCTTTCGTTCTCAGATCTGAACTCGCCCCTCTTTCTCTCTCTAACAAGTTTAACAGTGAAACCTTTAGGACAGGTTGAAATAATGTTGAATCTTGGCAAATTTGGAACCCAAGGGTCTGTCCATACATTAACACCATCACCTATACCCACCCTCCATCGCAAGCCTCTCTTGAGAACCTCTCTGCAACTACACATGTTTTTCCAAAGCCAAGCTGGAGCTTTGTCTTACTCTAGCCTCTAAAAAAGAAGTCTTTGAAAAATATTTACCTTTCAAAACCCATATATTTCAGATTTGTCGGTATATCATTTCAAATTGTTCAAAAACATTAACACCCATATCTTTCAGTTTCCATCGCTGCTGTTCTAGTTCGGGTTCGCAAGCTTCAGGCACTCTCAACTAATGGTTAACGGTTCTCATGGATCTGAACCGGAAAACTGTTCGGTTTCGGTTCAGTTTCAATCTATACGGTTTCGGTTCTGTTTTTTAGGAACCGTTGTGAACGGTTCCGGTTCCGACAGGAACCGTGAGAACCGGAACCGTGTGCATCCCTAGTAAATTCTCACAAAAAATGGGGTTGGCAAGGCCAGGCAACCTTCCCTGCGCCTCCGCCTGCTGAAACTCCCGATTAACTTTTTCCCCTAATTTCCTCACTCGAAATTTAGAAAGTCCATAAATAAATTGTAGAATTTTTTTTTTCAAACCAAATTAACCAAATAATTTGAAAGTTTTCAACGTATCAAATACATATTATCGAAATTATATTATACTAACAAACCAAATTACCAATACAATTACTTTTAAAGAAGGCGATCGCGGTTTCCAGGACATATATACATAGTAAAATAGTAATTTCTCAATATAAATGGGTTCTCCTAAAATTCGATTCTACCCAAAACCCTTAAACGAGTCTCCAAAATAATTTTAAATGAGAAGAGGCGAGACAGGTATCAACCGGGCAAGGTGTTTTACCATTCTTTAATGTGACAATTGGTGTTGCTTTCTTTGTACCATGATAACAATTTGACATGACACAATAAGACACTTTAACTAAAATTTTATAGTTTTATTTATAAAATGAATACAACACGTCTAATTAAATATCATTTATAACATATAATACAACATGTTAATTTCTACTATGAACATGATATATCGTGTTATTAAATGGATTGATAGGATAAGCATAAATATAACGCTTTCAATTAGTGTGTCAATTTGGGTCATTAATATTACATTATAAACTATTAAACTTAAACTCACTTAATCTGTCATGTTAAAGTCATGTTAGTGCATGGTGCAAGTATGGTTCATAGTCGTCATATTAATCCCCGCAGTGTAACAGACTAAAATAAATATCAATGTAAAGAAAATGAATTGATCGATTCATAAAAGTAAATATTAATATAAATCAACTAAATTGATCTGCTTAATAAATATCAATGTAAAGAAACTGAATTGATCGATTCATAAAAGTAAATATTAATATAAATCAACTGAATTGATCTGTTGATAAACGTGTGCAAGGTATTTAACATTCTAACACTTAATAAAAGGTTACAAAGTAACGAAGATCCGCGGCATAGACGGATGGCATTGTGTTGACCCAGGTAAATTGTGGCACTCCTAGGTCCAAGCAAGTAGCATCGAACTACAGTTGTGTTCTAAGCCACCATGTGCGAGAGGCAAGTTTTTACTGGTTGGTAGAACAACCAAGATGATCCCACTTAAATGGACTTCCAAACAGATATTCATTATCCCACTTCCTATTTTAGATCAGTCGGCCAAAATTGTTTGATCAGCTTTAGCCCCATTTAACTACTTGTCTTCATCATTTATCGAGCAGCCAAGTCTAAGAATTAGGACATAAACATCTTGTGAGCAAACACACCCAAGGTCTTCCCAGATAAAAAGAAAAGAACGACGAAGACCAGCTAGCTCTACTCATTCATTCATTGTTGTTTTTCTTCGTCTTCTCTGTTGTAGTCTCTCTCCTCTTCTCTCTATCTAGTCTCCTTTCGCGTGTCTTCTTCAACGGAGGAGGACACAATCGCACATTCACTTCAATTTCTTGAATCGATCTCGTTGTCTCCGTTGTTCAATCATATCTGAAGACTCCACCATCGGAATTGCATAGTCGAGCCCTATCGATCGAGGTACTTCTCACCTTATTCCGTCAAATGAAGTGTTAGATCACAAAATTTATCAGATTTAGGGCTTTTTTTTGTGTTATATATATGGTGTTTCTGTGTGATTCTTTGAGTTTTATGTTTTAATTCGAGGGAATCTGATGTAAACAATAGACGATATGCATATTTTTTTAGTTTATAGGAATCTTTGGTTTCCGTTGTTTGGGGTTGAAGTTTTAATCTACCGTTTGGGGTTTTCTTATACACGATTCAGTTCTGAGAACACATGCTAAATTTTATAGTATTAGCCTGATCATACTGAGGAAAGTAGCAACCCAAATATTAGGGTTTGGTGATGTTTTGCGTGGATTTATTTATCCCATCCATGGTTATTGGGAAAACTGAAGAGAGAGAAATAAAAATGAAAACTTCTACCATATGCTGTGTTTTTTTGTTTTTATGGAAATGTAAAATATTCTTCAGCCGAACCTAAAACAGTTACATCAATCACGTTTGAGTGGAGGTTTTTTGTTTTTGTTTTTCCAGGCTCCAAAATAATGAACTTTTCAGATAAAATTTTAAAAAATAAAAGAAAAAAACCTTCTAGGTTTGGTTTTTTTTTTTTTTGGTTTTTCTAGATATTCTAAGTAAACAAATGGAGCATTATAGTTACTAGGAAGTGACTGTTAAGACATAGATCAGTAGCAATTCATGGTGGTGCATATTTCTTGAAGGGTTTTAGATCAATGAAACCGAAGCTGAAGTCTTTTGGTGAATGATTTTGGTTTTAGGGTTCTGGTAATTAAGGTATTAGCTTGGATATGCTGATGCTGAAGAAATAAGGACATTTTGAAAGCTGCGCTGCTCTATTTGAGAAAATGTTGGAGGGTACTAAATTCACCGGTATTATAGGCCTTAACAACCACCATGATAATTATGATCTTTCGCAAGGCTTTTACCGTAAACTCGACGAGGGTTCAAACATGTCGATTGACAGCTTTGGGAGCTTGCAGATGAGCAATGGTGGAGGGTCCGTTGCCATGTCATTTGATAACAGCAGTGTTGGATCAAATGATTCCCACACTCGCATCTTAAACCACCAAGGGTTGAAGCGTGTCCACAACAACTATTCTGGTGCCCAAAGTGTCAATAGAGGACGAGTCTCGCATGGCCTGAGTGATGATGCACTAGCCCAGGCTTTGATGGACAATCGTTTCCCTACACAGGGACTTGAGAATTTTGACGAGTGGACAATTGACTTGAGGAAGCTTAATATGGGACCAGCTTTTGCACAGGGTGCTTTTGGGAAACTCTACAAAGGTACTTATAATGGTGAGGACGTGGCCATCAAGCTTTTGGAGAGACCAGAGAATGACCTAGAGAGGGCACACCTGATGGAGCAACAGTTTCAGCAGGAAGTCATGATGCTGGCCACATTGAAGCATCCAAACATAGTTCGGTTTATTGGCGGTTGTCGTAAACCCATGGTGTGGTGTATTGTCACAGAATATGCGAAAGGGGGTTCAGTTCGGCAGTTTCTGACAAAGCGGAAGAACCGATCTGTGCCTTTGAAATTGGCAGTAAAGCAGGCCTTGGATGTTGCAAGGGGGATGGAATATGTACATGGCCTTGGGTTGATTCACAGGGATTTGAAGTCTGACAATCTTCTGATTTCTGCCGACAAATCTATTAAGATTGCAGATTTTGGGGTTGCTCGAATAGAGGTGCAGACTGAAGGTATGACACCAGAGACAGGGACATACCGCTGGATGGCTCCGTAAGCCTCTTGACTCTTAAGCTGCCAAGATTCTTATTTCCTTTCTTTTATCCTATCTTTATTTTTATCAGAATTCTTTGATATCTTATACTATGGGCATCACTGTTCTGGTTTGTTATTTCTTGTACATTGGATAACTCTGCCATGTAACTTTTTCACTAACTTTAGCAGGAGATTTTTTGAATATATCCCTGAATATGGTACCTAATTAATTCTGTGACATAAGTCCCTATCAAACACTGGTTTTGTAACTTTTCTCCCTTGAATGGTTTTAATCGTATTTCAGAACGACATGTCTTTTGCTGCTGCTTTATCATACGGAGATAATGATATGCTCATTATGTTGTTTTTTGTCAACTCTCTCTTTTCTACTATCTCATTGTTTCTTATTGGTTCATTGTGATTGTCTCTTCCCCTTTTGTTCCTCTCCTTGTTTCTTTCTTAATTAAGTGGTGTTCCTTTAAAAAAATAAAAAATCCAAAGCATCAGTAGTTTTGGCTTTCTTGCGCTCATGCCTAGTTTTAAGCTTCACAAGACAGTATAAAATTTTAATTTTAATTTGGGGGTTCCCACCGAGCAAGGGGGTGTTAGTCTTGTTCATACTGTATAAAGTTTCTGGGATATGTATGGAAGGAACCCATATAAAAGGAAATTATTAGCTTCTGTATGCCCCCATGTGCTCAAATATACTAAAGAAAGGAAGGGGGGTTTTTTTTTTTACTTTCCAGCAGTAGCTGTATGCTCTTTGGTGCTTTGAGTTCAATAACATGCTTACTTATAGCTGAGCCATCATGTGAGGTTGATGAGACCTCTGTAGCAATGATTTGTTGGAATTTGCCTATCTGTGAGATTACAATTTGGAGCAAAAAATTACATTATTACCCTGTGGAAATCCTGGGAATGCTCTAACTAGAAAAAACCAGAAAATCTTTTTTTATTTTTATTTTTATTTATTATTATTTTTTTCATATACAGATTAATTACAGTCTAGTAATAGTTGGACTGAGATACTTCAACAATGCATGGATGAAAAACTTGCTAAATGAGAGACTTTTTTTTTATTTTTTATTATTTTTATTATTTATCTTTTCATGCTCATTCTGATGATCCTATTCCAGCGTGCATGAATTGAATGTTCCGGCATGTCGGCAATAATATTACTAAGGTCAAACCTAATGTGGAGTTATTACTGTTAATATAATGCAGTGTATGGAAATAAATGTTTGGTCTTGGATGGTATTTTAGGGCTCAAAATCCAATTGTGTAGGTAAAGTGTCTTCAATTGGTTGTGTTATTTGTGATCTGTTTGGAGGACGAGGACGAGGGAAGAGAATGATGGATGTTCCATGGTTTGGTAATAGGGAAAGTAAGGGGGAAGGGAAAACTAGAGCAGCCTTCTTCTCCAGAGGTCCCTTATCCCCTCCTCCTGGAACTGGGACATTCTCCCTCCTTTTTTACTTCTTCTTCTTCTTCTTCTTTTTTTTTTTTTTTCCTCCTCCTCCTTCTTCTTCTTCTTTATTAAAAATCCTTCCTTTAATATGTAAAAATGTGATGGTAAAATCACACGGTAGCACCTTCCGTCTTTCATACTTTCCTTCCTAGTTCCTATTTTCAACTCAATGAAACAAAAAGGGGGAGAAATGGCTTTTGAGAAGGTATGTCTACTATTGGCCAAAGATGAAGGAAGACTGCATCACGATTCACGAACCACAAAGGTTGCCAGCCATGTCAAAATCAAGCTACTTCCTTCCATTCTTCCAATCCTTGTACCTAAGGAAACATTACGATGGTTCCAATTTATATCATACTGGCCCAAATCAGGCTGTTGGGATTTGTAATGATGACATTGTAGTTATGTTGTGGCTTCAGGTGGACAGACTGCCACCACATATTTATGCACAAGGACTGGTTTTTGTTGCATACAGCAGCGAAGCAAAGTGCGGAAGCCCCTTTAGAGACGGGGGTGGGCCATTGAAGAAATTGAATCATAGAACCAAAAGAAAATTATTCGATCTAAATTTTGGGCATATGGAATTCGTTCATCTTTAGATTCAGAATAGAAGGGGAAGGGGAATTTATTATGGCAATAAGGTAGGGTCTTGATCAAGCAACTTGTAGTCTTATCCACCTATATCTTGAGTAACATATCCAGTGGCATTTGATGTTGGACATAGAATCGAGAGGATGAAGAATGACTTATCTAGACTCAGATTTGAATTTACCCCTTGTTGATTGGCGTTGGTGATCTTGTTAACTGCGTATCTACTTGCAAGTTAATTGTAGAATCAATAACCATATGGATCTGTGTGCCATATAGAAGTTGTGTACGTGGCATTTGTATTATAAGTGTGTTGTGTGTGTGTGTATTATTAGTCTTGTTTAAAATATTTTCTGATTTGTCACTAAATTGACCCAGTTTAACAGAAACAACATTGAAATGGAATATTTTGTATGGGCGATGTTGCGACACTGCTATTGTGGTCCGTAAATATTTTAACCTGTCCGAGCCAAATCAAAAATGGTTGGTTTGGTTCGACTCAGGAGTCGATAAATTTAACATCTCTTCCATCTTTGGATTGAGTGAATTTCTCTGGGGACTGGGTAGTCAGTTCCTTGTTTCATACTTTGTTTCCTGGGTTTGGTGATGTCAGGTTGACACAGGCTGCATATATTTGGACCTTCTTTGTCTATTTAGCAGTGCTACAACTGTGATTCGTTGCCTTTGGTTGCTTCTCCTATTGAAGGAATATATTTAAGTTTGTTTATTGTTCTTTTGGGGTTCCATGGCAATTGGGTGTGGCTAGTATCTTTATAGACCATCTTGGGATGCTGTTTTTGCCTCACGTGGATAATAGACAGATGTTTTGTCATGGAAGTGGAAATGCTTGCCATTGGAGGTTCTAGAGAATGCTGATTTGGAATTTCAACCTTTGATACCTTGTTTTTAGGAAACCAAAGTTTGAAGCTAAAAAACACCACAAAGATGTGGTAATAGTGATGGAGAATGAGACATATTTGAAGTGTGAATTTCTAGGGGAGGAAAGGACTGTTATATGATGTTTGAGTGACTGGGAGAGCCATGGCTTTTTTTGACAAGTTAGTGTAAGATGACCCAACTGACATGGTTAAGTTTTAAATGTCGTATAATCGAGACCATATCATCTTGGTCGAGTTGTTGCAGTATTGCAAGATGTCTTGTGAGACATGTCACGAGACAGCTTGGGTGTATGGACTTTGAGGCTGGCAAGACCTGCATATTTGGATTTATGCCTACTTACATTAGTATTGTTCATTGGCATCTAAGAAACTTATCACTTTTTTTAATCCTAATTGCCATATGACACTAATGGAGCAATAATGACATTATCAAGAAAAGTTGATCCATAGCGATGAAAGTGATGCATAATATAATAATTAAAGAATTAATTGCATTTAATTTGTGACCAATTAGATAAATTTATCAAACCCTTTGAGTTAATATGGTTTGCATTTCATAAGTATTAAAAAGGTACCTGTTAGAAACTAAGTCACATAAAGCGGGAGCGCCCAAGTCTAAAATGACTTAAGAGCGGGAGCGTCTATATATTATATATTTTATGTTTGTATACTTATACTTACGAAATATGATTATATTAATTTATTAAATATTTTTTTTATTGCTGCTTTTATTTTAATTATAAATTTGCGATTTTTTTTTTGTATCCTCACTCAAGTCGTGAAAACGCGCGCCAAGCAAAAATTCGCACCCCTCTTTCGTGAATCGTGTGACCTAGGTTAGAAATCTTTCATGATATCTGCATGGAGACTTTTGAAATGGCATTGAAAATCTCTATGAGCTCTACTCATGCAAGGCTAATCATGGTTCAAAATCGCAAGGGAAATTTATGGGAATTGTGGATATAAAAAATATAAGTAAATTACGAACATAGGAATTGATTTGGCCAAGCTAAAATCTGTTCCATGCAGGCAGGTTGATTGGGTTTTGTGTTCAATTATACATGTAACCGGTAAAATCTTGTTGTATGCATTTTCTTTTTCTGGATGTCATTTATAAAGCACATTCAATATTTTCAGTATTAGTTAGATCATTTTTTTGCATTGCATCTTTATGTCTTTCAAGTTGCATATTTTTTAAGCAATACAATCTGCTTTGGATCAGCCCTCTAGGCCAAAGCAGGTCTAAGAGCCAAATTGGATTAGGTTTTTGAACATTGATAACCTTGAGTTCTCCTCTTCAGAACCTTAGTTTCTCTCCCCCACTCTTTCTAAATTGTTTCAATTCTCACAATAAGTAGATACTTGTTGTACAGTTTTGATCATTCATATTGTCGAAAATGTAGTAAGAGATTATCAATGAATGATAGTACCAACAGGCATGGACCCATTGATAAGTCAGTGGGGGCAATTGGCCCCACTGGATTTTTATTTTTGATATATATATTTATAAAAACCCACTGGCCCCCACCCCACCACATAATTTTCTGGGTTCCATCCCTGAGTACCAATAGACATGCTTTAGAAGTTTATGTGGTGTAGGAATGTCGAACAAACTGGCTTACTTGAGCTCGGCCTGAAAAAGCTTGTTCAAGCTTGCTTGTTAAGTTGAAAGAGCCAAGATCTATTTAGACTTTTTGAGTTCATTAAGTAAATGAGCTGAAGCTTGTTAAGCTCACTTGGTTGTGCTCGTGAGCTTGGCTTGGGTTTGAGTGCAAGGCAATCTTGTAATTTCAGGAAAACTTATGGGTTATCAATTAGGTAAAATTGTAACATTGCTTCTCTTCAATGAACTTTCAGCATTTACATTTAATTAATCTTCCAACAGAAATCACCTCAATAGCGAAAGACTGATGCTTCCATTCATTTGTCTTTCACCTATATATATATATATATGCACACATATATTAGTTAGAGATACTTTTTTATTTTAAAAACTTTTATTTACAAAGCTTTTTCAAAATCAACTTTTGGCATTTCAAAATCATTTTCTATGAAGTGATGTTAGTCGGCCACATTCATAATGACAAACTGAGTTGAGCAGGATGAGCCGAGCTCAAACAGTACACATATAATTGAAGCGGAGCAGGTGCTGATTCTGAGCATGCCCTTTTGATATCCAATGATTTTGAGCACTCTACAACTTGAATCTGTTTCTCAACCATAATGGGGATAAAGTTTTCATGTAGGTAAAAACCTTTATTTCTTAATTGATGGCTTCTGAAATAGGGAGCAATAGTAAGTTTCAAGTTTCAATAAATAAATAAATAAATATATGTGTGTAGATCGTGTAATTGATTTTTCTCTGATACTTTGGTAGCCGCACGGATGCCACTAGAGTAGTGTCAATATAGGCTTCTCGATGAATGGTTACCTGTTAAAAAGCCCTTTAATTCAGAATAGGGCTATTGTTAGATGAGAGACGTAAGGTTTAAAAACCGTGCACTATTTTTCTGTGGTGCAGGATAGCATGCGGCACTGCTTTGTTAATTTTTTTCCTCAAATTACTCTTGCCTTGATTCTAGTTTATATCTTTGCATCTTTAATTTGTTGTGGAATACTCGAGTGCTTTGCAGAGAGATGATCCAGCACAGGCCCTACACGCAGAAAGTGGATGTTTATAGCTTTGGGATTGTTCTTTGGGAACTCATTACGGGAATGCTTCCCTTTCCTAACATGACTGCGGTGCAGGCAGCATTTGCCGTTGTCAACAAAGGTGTCCGTCCAAACACCCCCACTGACTGCCTGCCTGTTCTTAGTGAAATCATGACTCGGTGTTGGGATGCCAATCCTGATGTCAGGCCGCCTTTTACTGAGGTTGTCAGAATGCTTGAAAATGCGGAGACTGAGATCATGACAACTGTCCGAAAGGCTCGTTTCAGGTGTTGCATGAGCCAACCAATGACTATCGATTGATGCGGAAAAGGAGGAAAGTAAAAGAAGTGGTAGGAAGAACAGAAAGAAGGAAATGGGAACTTAAAAAAAAAAGAGGTTGAAAAAGGTGATTTTATGTCAGCCTTGTGTATCTATCAGGGTTAATTTCTTTTCATTAGATAGAAAAAAAAGGGAAAGTTGTGATAAGAACCAGTTGTTTTGTGTTTTTTGTTTTTTTCTTTCTATTTAATGGATTTATGTTGCTGCATTAGTAATAGGGGACATTTGATGTATATCTATACATGCCTTTCATGTAATGTGCTAAACCTGCACAGTTTAGTTGTTTTCCCTTTTCTCAAAAAGTTGCAGGTTCTGAGGATCTAATTAATTGGATATAATTTAATGTCCTTTATTGCTATAGTTGTTCTCTTAATTAGCAAGTATGGAATTTAATATTCATATCATGTTTGTGAGAATATTGCTCTGAGATGATGGTACTATTTCACGATGATACAGGAAACGCAGGACCGTAATGTGGTTGCAAATTCACAAAGTACAACATTGGCAATCACAAAGTTTTACTCAATTTTCTTGGAGTTGCCTGCTCTGCTAGAAAATATGCAGAAAATTTCCTACTCTGCTAGAAAATATGCAAAAAAAAAAAAAAAAATTATGTTTATGTGACTCGAACATCTCGGGTACGCCAAACAATAGACTATTTTTTGCAAATTTAGCCTCGTTCTCTTAACTCAAGATTAAGATTCAAGGTCTCACATTGATTTGATTTGAATTTTCTCAGCATTTGCTTGGTGGTATAATATGAAAGGACCATTTCGTTTTGTCTTTTAAATATCTTTCAAGTTAAAAAACTGATAAACTCTACCACTGAACATCTGATATGAATAGAAAATGCGGCAATACATTGAAAGTCCTATTGATAAGAACATCAATGTTCATTGTTATTAAATTCAAGCCGTATCACAAACCATAAACGGCTTTCATTTTATTTATGCAAGTGTGAGAAAACTGCACACATTATGTTGTAGAACACTTAGCAAAGCATAATCTAAGCCATCTTGAACGATATTGGAGTCCATTCTCACTACATGGATCTTGCTCACCTAAACTGCAAACGCCAATACTTATGATATAAAATATAACAGTGCAGTGAAAGATTAGATTCATCACTTTTCCCTCTCTTGTTACCCTTTTGTTTTATAGATACCTTGAAAAACCTGAAATGGCACTCTAAAAACAGATGGTTAGATATATATGTAAATTCCGAAGTTGAAAAAAGTACACAGGAGCATAGTAATAATAATCATTCTCAAGATAAGATTATTGTTTAGACAGCTGAATTTTCTGTAACTAAATTTTTTTTGTCGCATTGCTTCAATAAATTGCCACCCAATTTGAGTAATTTTACAAATCTTTCCTCTGCACAGCAGCTTATAGTAATTGCACTGCACTAAATCAGAAATCTAAAATTACAACAGGTGTGGTGTCAGGCACATAACATTCAGACTCCTACGACAATCTTGCTTCAATTGCCCCATATGCCCCGACACCACCTACAACTAAAGAAAACAATTCAAAAGATAAAACGAGAGAAAAGAGAGTATGTAAGCTCCTGCCTGCCTGTGCCTCGCTTAAGAACGCGTGAATTAACCCAATTGCTCTCAATATTGAAATATCAAAAGATCCCAAAAGGAAGAGAGAGGCCTAGTTTACAGTGTGTTGGAGATGACTTATACACCTCAAAGAATTGCCTTCAAAATGTCAGATTACAGCAACCCCAGAAGCCAATATACCTGCAGCTATAACTCCTGCTAGTCAAATCCTACAGTTGTTATTATTTTTTTCTTCTTCATGAAATCAGTTATACTGCCCATTACTGTTCCTTTCTACGCACTTCTTTACCATTTTCCAATTGGAGCGTCTCAGAAAAGTTATCAGAGAGTTGATTTATCGAGGTATCAGCAAGTATAACTGGATCATTTTTTGTTGAACTTGCTCGCTGCCTGGCCTTTCTTTCTTGCAAGGCTTTCTCCCGTTCATCATAAACACTAAAATCATCTAGGATGGATGTATCTGCATCATGCTCTTTGAAAATTTTCAACATCTCGATGCCCTGTTCCAGTTTCACCTGAGAAAGAGCCAGAGCGTTTGAGTGAATGGGAAGGTTTTGTACTGGACTAGAGAATGCTTACAACCCTTGGTTGCTTGGTTGTGGAGCAAATGAGCTCCCACCCCTATTTATAGACCAAAGAGCCTCACAATGAACCACTACGATCTATACAAATCAGCTATACAACGGTCGGGTTAATTTCATCGTGGTGTGTGGTGTCTGCTTGGCTTAACCTTCTAAGGCCATGTTGTACTATTTTAACAGAAGGCTCGACCTAATAAAGGGATATATGCAGAGGGGGGAAAAAAATGCAGCTTCCCAGCACATAAAGGCTTTGATGAGTTGACTTGTATTTATGAGCATGCAGCAACTAAAATAAAGGTAATTGTAATGTTGACATGAATCTGAGGGTGCCTACTGCCCAAGTCAATCCAGAGGAGTGGACATCAAGAAAATGGGCCAACACTCAATGATAGGTGAACTGGGAAGACGTCTTAGTGTCGACTTTCCTTGTGCTTAACAGATGCATGACAATGGTAGGTGACTACATGCATTGATGAGATTAGCTATACATGAAAATGGGTTGGGCAACATTGGTCTAACCCCAACAAGGGGAAAAAATAGAACGTGCTTTTCTAATCACTACATTTGTGTTTGAGCCATTCCTCAACATAAAGCCCGAAGCAACTAAGTAAACCTCCCAAAATTAGGATGTGTATCTTTAATTGTGAGGAAAAAATCTTTAATTGTGAGAAAAACAACATAGTATCACATTAAACATCAACCAACACAGAACATTAGTGCTGACGGGTAAATCCCTATCCAAAGGCCAAAAAAAAGAAAAGGGATGGGAAAAAGGAAGATAGAAAGAAGAAAGAAGAAAATCATTGCTACCTCTTGAGTGTCTCGGCTATGGGTAACAGGCTTGTTGTCATTATTTTCAAGAAGTATGTGGCGGAACCGACTGTTAGGAACATCTTTGATAATATGCCATTGGACGGGGAACTGCCCAGTCCACCTATCCTGCTGCCAATGATCTGCATTATTCTCAAAATCTACAGGTCCAACCATTTCTGCCATTCCACAGAATTGTCCACTTGCATTGACCTACAATAGTTGCAAGCAACAAAATTTAAGAGGGTTAATACACTGAAAATTTAAGAGTTACAAAAAGGTATTCAGAGTACAGCTTAACCAACGAGAAAAATATATAAATAGAAGCAAGTCCATTGGATTTTCAAAAGTATCTACAGATGTCTCGAAGAAATAGACTCACTCACTTCCTTTCTTTTCATATTGGGATGACAGGAATACTAATTCTGCATAGGCCTAGTGGATATTGAGAGCAAAGCAGAAAATAACTCGGCAAACTGTCTACCAACCATCAACATGACCAATAAAACAGTCGATAGGCCCACTACTAACTCATTTTATTATTACTATTTCATGAAAATCAACTAGCGATATGACCTGTTTCTCACTATATTTCTCTCACTGATCATGCTCAAATCCCATATGCAGACCTGACAACCTACCCAAAGACGAGGAGAATGTGGATGACACAAGGGATAGAACTTTCAAAAAATATACCAAAAGTATAGACAAGGAGCTTGCATCTAGTGAGGAGGTCAATGCACCATCAACCACGTCAAACAAAACTGGAACTGCTTCCAACATCAGAAAATCATTAGCTCACATATAACTGAACTTCAGGTTTAGTGATGGCACGTTTGTGCAAAAGGCTGCTGTGGTTAGGCTTCTGCACTTATAGCTATTTCACACACCCAGAAATTCTATAACTGCAGCCAAACAACAGTCTCATAGCCCTACAGTAGACATCTCTATCCAACCACCATGGATCAGTGCCCTAATATTTTTTAAATCAACAAGAAGTTGATTATCCTTGGAATAACCTCAACCAGGCCCTAAATCATCCAAGTCAGTCCAACAATTGTGACAATAGAGCCAATATATATATATAAATAAATAAATAAATTTTGAGTTTCGGAGTTCCAAGTAATATACCGAAAAGAATAGAAATACTGGACAATGTCCCTTAGACCCCTTCGCTTCATGATAAGCAGCGTCTAGTTTTCTGTTCCCAAGTGGAGTGCTGGCCCAGATGGTGTATTTAATACTTTTGTGAATATTGTCTTCACTAAAAGACTTGATGATGAAAAACTTGGCATTCTCATAATTTGTTGTAAAATCTGGATGGTTGTACAGATTAAAATGATCCCCAGAAGTAGATGCACTATTTTTGCTAATAGCAGATTCAGTAGTGCTCTTGTCCTTCTGCTTTGAAGCCCTAGGCCCCCGATTATGATCACCAGAGATTCCATGTGAATAAGTAGAAATGCAAATAGAGTCAGAGCCCCTTTCTCGTCTTCCGCCTTTTTCAGGAGTGTGTCGGTTCTGTTGATTAGCTCCCCAAACAGGAATGGATGCACCACCATAGTTTGAGCTCTGGTAAGAGCCACCAGGCCGATGGCTTCTAGCATAGGAACCTGATTCCAATCCAACTCCATGAAATTGTCTCTGTTGTTGAGAAATCTGCAAATGATTGACAATTCAACTTTTAGAGCACAGAGGGTTAATGAGTTTACAGGATTACCAAAATTTAATTTTCATCTGCATCTGTGGAAAGAAACAACAGCTTAGATAAAGTGAAAGTTTGAATCAGTTGGTGACAAACTAGAAATCCACAGGAATTGCTATGTCCAAGCACCCCGTTGAACGCTAAAACACAAGTTTACATACATGGTTTTCAAAACTAATCAGGCAATCTATTGAACATGGTTGCCGTTCCCAAAATTAGTATCCATTATCACTGCAATATTTCCAAGGTACAAGCATAAAAAGCTTCGATTATCGAAATACAACTTAGAGATACATTCCTTTAAACCTGATTTCCCTAATCATTTTAAAGATTTTTAGTGAGCTTTGATTAATCAAATACATTATTTGCCATTTGTAATTCAGAAAAATAATGATGACAAACTAATCACCATTTTAAGATTGTATGCCTTATCATGGCATTATGCACCACTTTCTCGAATTCTAGGTTTAAGATTGGCAAACTGATACATAGGATCAAAGACGAACAATAAGTAGCAACACGCAAATATAAATACAAACATGTACATACACACACAGACAAAAAAACACACACACACACAGATGCCTATATATCGTCTCTACAGTGCAAATACTTGAAATGACAGTGCATCATTTCAAGACAACATCAGATAATGCATACTAATGCAGACCAACGTTAGATTTTACAGTGCCTCTGCTATACCAGCTAGGGTTAGAATCACTAGTGAAGTACAGCAATAGAAAATACTTATCAGTTATTATAAACCACTGGGCAACCATGTCTTATCTTACCATGCCTTTGTAGTAAAAGAGGGGGGAGGGAGGGAAGAGGGCAGTCACAATTTAAAACAACAAATATAGAATATTTAAGATCATCAATGTTGCAGAAGAAAAACAATTAATATTCACAGTACTATTACCAAAATACACAAGTAATGTTATATTTATGCAAATATGCATACACTGATATTCAAATACAATTACACGGTTTACACCCGAGTCCAGCCAACAGTATAATAAGCTAGATTATATGATTGAATCTTAATTGGATTGAAGGGAACCTAAAGCAAGCTCAGACCAAGTTTTGAAGTGGGTCAACATTAAAAATGTCATTGTGAAAGTACGAAAACAGAATATCTAATTCTCAAGTATTCTACTTACAAATGGTGGTCATGATGGTAAAATAAATACATAAGTTGTGTGGAATTTTTTACCAAGGAAAGTTTTTAGTTATGAGAATGTCATATTCTAGATTAAAGTAAACAAACCTGTCCAACATTGTGCTCATAAGACCCAAGTATACCAATTGGTTGGGGATAAACTGCTGCTGATGTCATTGGGGACAAATACCTGCCGGTGTCTCGAGGATTTGATTGATTTGGCAATAGTTCACCAGATCCAAAATCCCCCTGGTAGTTGTAGAAACCAGGGCTATAGCCATTTCCAGAAAGGTCCCCTCCACCAAAAGATCCAAAATGTACAAAGTATCCTGATCCTGGCCCAAAAAGCATATTGTTATTGAGACCCTCTTGGCCACCACTTCCCGGTGTCATCAGCTCAGTTTGTGAAATAGGAAGAGCTGAAGTAACATGTGCCGCACCAGGCGAAACTGATTGTGGAAAATAAGGCGGAGACACAGGGAATTGATGTGGAGAGTATAGCTGGCCATCTACCATTAATGGGGACAGAGGACTAGCCAACGGGGAATATTGTCCATATGCCATTTGAGTATCAAATCCATAACCAGAATGAAAGACAAGCGAGAGATTGTCGTTGTACATTGCCTATGTACAGCCAAATAAAAAAGAAACAACTGGTGAGTTACACCTACAAAATAAATCAAACAAGCGCAAGGGAATGGGATTTGTCCTTACCGGAGGGACAACTTGCAAACCATTGGCATTAACATATTGAGAAGATTCATCCCAATTACCTGTGCTGTTATCATAACCTGAAGACAAGAAGGATGTGATAAACCATTATTCAATGTTCTGTATAATTATGGGGAGGAGCAGAACCTGGAAGCTCACAAAAATGATGATATTTTCCACTCACACAACATGTTAGGTCAGGTGTGTCCAATTTTTGTATTTCATCCCAAAATAAAGTCTTTAAAGGGTCAAATACCAAACAGTAATCATAAATATTCAGTTTAATTTTCTTTTATATTCCATCAAAATCTATAATTTTATAAAAAAATTGTCAATCATGGTTTGTGTTTAAAAAAACAGCTCAAACAAGAAAAATGTCAACATCAGCAAACTTTTGTATAAAAGCAAGATATGGTCTACTAATCGTCATAAAGAGAAAAAAAAAAAAAAAAAAACCCAAAAGTTTAGGATCTGAGTCAGTAACAATAGCAAGTATAGTAAGGAACAAACCTCCATAATAAAAAGGTTGTTCATGAGAAGAATAGGTATTTTGTGGATTGACGGTTGCAAGAGCTCCACTTCTCTCAGAGGATTCCGGTGCATCTATGACATTCCTTGAAGGCTCTGTGATGGTTGCATCCCGAGAAGTATTCACAGAAGCAATCCTTTCATCTTTGGGTGAAAGTGGCTGTTGATAGATAACAAAGGAAGTACTAATGCAACACATTAACTAATCAAACCAATATATAAAGAAAGAAAATAAGTATAACATAGTGGACTGGCGACCAAGTACCTGTTCCATCAAGTTATCCAGACCAACAGGTGTCCCATCTGCATACCAGTAACTTGGTAAGATAGACATTAAAGTAAGCATAGAAGCACTGAGCGAAGGAGCTACATATTAATGAATATGAACCAGCAGAGGTTCACCTACATGCTGATCCCTCAAGCAACACCCCCCGCTGGGGGTGGGGGTGTACTAGGATAGTTGAGAGCTTTGTATGGGCAAGCACAAAGTTCAACAACTAAGTTAAAATATTAAAATCCAAAGAACAAGCAGACTATTTTGAAATTGTCACACTAAAGATGTTCTGAATTGCTTGTTTGCGGAGGATGACTTGTCCTTCACATATAACAATTTCTCATATTTATGGCATATAAAAAAACAAAAAAATAAATTTTCAGGTGCCTTCTCTCTCTCTCTCCCCCTCATAAATAGGTATCTTGTCATTTACTTATACTTGGGAGGCAGGTTCTGTAACTGAAATATGAACTTGCACAAAAATTATATAGTTAAGAGTTAGTTCGGGGTGCTAATGGCCTTAAATTCAATCTTCTCAAGTGGACATCTTCCTTCATACATTTGATTCCCTTCAGGTTTTGTAAAGCAAAGGTGGTGTAGAATATATTAAAAATGTTCAGAATGTTGAAAGAAACTCCATTTATCTAAGGAAAACAACTAAGCTATGATTTATGTGGTGCCTTATACACTTTGTTTATACCTCATGTCAATTTCCATTATTTATCGAGTGGCTGACAAGCTGACGTTGACAAACAAAAGAATTTGCCTTTTGGGGAGTCGGGTTTTGGAAGTAATTGGGTTAAAAATAGAAATTCAGAAACAATCTCATGGATTGACACCCAATAAGCACTACATTAGGAAATGGGGTTGGGCATTGACTAAGATGAACTAAGTTAACTGGTATCAAGGTACGCATCAGTTAGGCGTCATTTGTGGTGGATTTCAACTTACAAATGCATATGAAGTACTGACTAGTGTTATGTGACTTATGTCCCCACTGGGGTTTGAACCCTCAAACTCCCCTTTGGGTAGGTGTAGGACAAACTAGTATACTACACAAAAAGGCTTTGGTGGTATATTGACTAGTTCACCAAGTGATGGGGACCATATAGATTTGGAGGACGGGGAGACATCACAAAAAGGATTCAAGCAATTTAATGACTAATAGGATTAGCAACTCAGAATGGCAGGAGAACATCGGCTTTGGTGACACTAATTATATACTGCTGAATAACAAAAATAAGTTGACTGACAACCGTTGGAGGAAGGAGATGCCTTGGAACCCTGAGTTCATTAATCCAGCAAGTTGTTTTAGAAATCACACAAAATGTACATTATAGAGGCTGTGAATGATCCTAGGATATCAAAGGTTAATTTCAATGGGATTTTTTGACACTTTCTCAGCTACAGTGAAGTACAACCACCCCAACTACAGAATTAGGAGAAAGACAGACAATGTAAATCCACCAAAAAAAATTCTAACAAGCAGCACCCACAGAGAGAGATGATGGTTTTTTTCATTAAGCTAATTTTGCGCTAATTTTTGCCAAATTTAACCCAATTCTTCCATCCAATATAACAAAAAAAAGGGCATATATTTTCAACTAAACTCCCAAAACCCAAAAATTTGATGACTTCAGCTGGCGTTGTAATGATTAACGCATTACAAATTTCAAAGCTACGTTCTTAAAGATTCAATCTTGGCTCGTTAACACATGGGAGTAAAGTTCCCATTACAAGCTATTAAACAAAACCTATCAAGCTTTAGCAATTTCACCCAATAACTCAATACGTGTGAGAGTGTGTATGTGAGTGTGTGTGTCTATATATATATAAAGGTTATGAGATGGAACGGAATACACACCAGCAGATACAGATACAGATACCGGTGAGGTTGACGTAGGATTGATTCGATCCTGTCCCTGTTGACTCGCCTTTTCCATGAATCTAATCAAACTCCGATCTAATCAAACTCCAATCTAATCAAAAACCCAAATCTAATATATTCGATACAAAGAAAAGAGAAATGAACAACAAACGAAATACTCGGTGAAAAAGGGTTTTGGGTTTCGAGTCTATATCATTACAATGATGAATGAGAAAAAGAGGGGAGAGTTTATATATATATATAATTATATATATATATATATATGTATATATATAATAAAAATATGTATATGTATGTACAAAGAAAGAACCTTGTTGTTACTCTATATACTTTCACCTTGCATTGAGGCGGTTTGATTTCCTTTTAAATTCGGATTTCCCTAATTGGGTTGGATTTTTGGATTTACTGAGTGAGATGCTAAACTTACTCGTTTTCACAGCGCGTGACAAACAAATACAAGCCTTGGCGAGTTGAGTTTATTACACGCGCCTTAAAGGAGAGTGGACAGAGTATAACTCTGGTGTTTGCTAATAAATACAGTGGATTCCTTCTCATGAATGAGGGGGAAAGGAAAGTATTAATACTTTAATTCAGATCTACAGAATGGAAACAGAAAGGAAATTTCCATGGACTTTTCACTTAATTCTAGATGGAGTAATGTCAATACGTATATATATATATATATATATTTTCTCTTTTCTTGGAAAAGAATTCAAGGGCATGTTTGGATCAATAACACTTGTTTTGTAGATGAGATAGGTTTCACACTGAAATTTGTAAGGTACTGTACTAATTAATAATATATTAAAATAATAAGAATTATTATTTTGTTATTTATTGAAGATAAGTGTTGCAATAGGTCATTTGTACCTATTCTTTGAAGTTTCATTTGCGAATTATTATTCACATTATTATTTTTCATTGACAATTTGAAGTATTTATTAGAGACTCAACTCTTTTAAGTCTAAAGCAAACATTCATAGGCAATTATGAGCCACCTTATTGAATTGTAGGACAAAACTATTGGCTAGGTACCCAATAATATAGTGCCATCCTTTAACAAATAATCACTATTTTCCTTATTTATAGGAATTACTAATCATTTCCATTAAATGATGACACTATATTATTGATTTATTGGTACCTTGGATACTCAATAATTTATTCTCAATAGGACCCCATTGCATGGAATAACTTGTTCTGCATTAGCAACACTACGTCAATATCATCCATCACGGCTGAAACCTCAGAATGCCTTGTTTGGCTTTGCATCACCACCTTCATCTTTGCACAATTAATTCACCATTAGCATTAACTTTGTAAGAAGTTAGTTGGTACGGTACCTAGCTTTATGAGTGGGTGTGCAGCTGTTCGAGTTATCCCTCCCATCTTATTAAAAAATATATATATACACCAAAAAGGGCGTGTTGGAGTTCCACCTACCCCTCAAAAAAAATAAAAAAAGGACAAAAAAATAAAAACATGAAAAAGTCCGTACGTACATTTAAAAATGACAGATAGCCAATCAAAGGAGGTGACCAATATTGTGGAATAAGCTGTAATAGGCCTCTTACTTCCCAGGTTACAAGGGAATATTAGTCTCACATCATATCCGAATTTCAGAGTGAGTGATTGAGTATAAATAAATGGATATATATTATTATTCAATAATTTAAGTTTTTGAGTAAATGGATAAGCGTCCACCCGTTATAGTTAGTATCAGAGTCAAATCTAATCCTTGATTCGGTGTGACGCCAAGCGCTCGGCCCGGAAGGCGTCCGAGTGAACCACCCTAGATAAGCTGGCCCGACCGCAACGAGGACGTTGTGAGTTCAAGTGGGGGAGAATGTTACAAAGAGATATTTGTCCCACATTGGATCCTGATGGGAGAGTAATTGGGTATAAATGAGTGGGTATGCAATACTATTCAACAGTTTGAGTTTTTGGATAAATATGCAAGCGCCCACCTGTTATATCTAGCTACCTATACATGAAAATATCCAGCCCAATGCTTTTTATAAATCCTTGATTTATGATCGCTGCTTCATCTTTCTAAATCCAACTGTTGATGCAAAAATCCTTGCGACCTGGAACGATGACGTTTACTTACAAAACAATAGAGATTAGGTCACCTCAAATGGCACTGATGGGATGCCGGTCAAGGACCTTCTGACGATCAAGTTAATGCTAAGAATCGTATAACATAAAAGTAATTTTGTATTATATGTTCAAGAGTTTTTCCTCCTTCTGAGTTTATGTTGTTGCCATCCTCTTTTCCACGAAGAGAGAGTCGAAAGGAACTCATTGGTAAAGGCTGCCAGTCAAACTTAGGGTTTTTTTTTTCATCACCAACCATTTTAAATTTTAAATAATTATTATTTGTCATTTATATATATATATATATATATATATTTATATTTATATATCGTACTAACATTTTTTAATAAAATAATTATGGTAGACTTGTTAGCTAGGAAACATGGATACTTTTAAGAGAGAAACGTACCTGTATTGGATACGTGTCAGATACTGACACTCCACGGATACTCACGAATACATGTCTGATACTTTTTAAACGTATTCATAATTTTATAATATATATTTTAATTTTTAATACATATCCGATGCTCCTTAGACACTTCTTAGATATTGCGATTGCGTATCCGACATTTCATAACACATTTTAAACAAATTTGAACGTTAAAATACAACTTTTTCAACAATAATAATATAATATAATTATTGAGAAAAGTTCAAATTTTAGTAAGTGATGACTAGAGATTTTGTTTTATGTGTTGTAAAATGAACTTATATGTTATATTAATGATTACATTTAGATTCATAATTTTTTTTAAAAAATTATTTATTTATATATAAAAAATAAAATTTATTTATTTTTTATTACCATATCCCGCCATACTTGTATCCTATTTTTTTGAGATTTGCCATATCTCCGCATCCGTATCGTATCGTACTTGTGCCCGTGCTTCTTAGCTTGTTAGATATGCGTCTTATAATATTTGAAAATATCAAACAAGTGGGTGAAGTATTTAAGGTGTATTAAATAAATGTAAACAAAATTATTATTTTTTTTATAAAAAATTTATCAATATTAACTTCTCAATAAATTTATTTTGGTGTAACTTAACTTGTTTTATGCAAATACCTTCCTAACCCAACAGTTGGGTTTCTTCCCTTTAACATTCTTTCCCATCCATACATGAAATCCGTAATTGATGATCGTGGAACCTATAACTGTAGTATAATTCTTTTACAATTGTTTTATTGACTAATATTCTCAATGCATATTTAAAATTGTATCTGCATGCTTGCATCATCTTTCACTTATTTGATTTTTTTTAATCTTTTGACAAACGTTTTATTTGATTGACGCTCGTCTGTTTGAGCGAAAAATAAATTTTAAAAAATAAATTTTTATATTTTTCAGTATTTGGTTATCATAAAATATTAATAAAAAAAATATTAAAACCTAACAAAAATAACTTATTCATTAATTTTCGACAAGCCTTTTTACATGTATCGAGTGACACCGAAAAATAAAAAAGAATATAAATTTTATGTGAAAAGAAAAAATATTTTCCGAAGAAGATATTTTATATCGAAACAAATGAAGCCTGAATGTGTAGTATTGAACAATTAAATTAGCTTTAAAGTAATCCAATTTTTTTTTTTTTACATTTCAAAATTTTCATATTGTCACTCACAAATGCCTTTGTTTGATTTATGGTAAACAAATTGAATTGTAAGTACAAGAAAGTAACTCCGAGTTTGATTTTTTTATTTTTTTTGAGTCCAGATCATTATTAATTTCTCAGTATAATAAACTTGAATTCATTAATCGGGATTCAGAATTTGTCACAAACTACATAATTTAAAGTAATAGGAGTCATATGACTAATCCAATTTATATATTGATTGAAATATACTGATCTCTAACTTTTTATGTTGACTGAAATAAGCTTTTGTGTTTTCAATAACAAGTAAATTGTATATTCTTCAATTTTCATAAAATTTGCACAAAATGTTAAATTTAGAAAAAATTAAAAAGCTTCTAATTTCACAGCTTATTCTTCCCAATCACATTGACTCCTTAGGATAGATTTGAATTTAATAGCGTTCAAAAGAATTAATTTTCCAGAAAAAAAAAATATTAAATTTTTGTTACGCAATATGGAGAATTAATCATGCATTTTTTGTTCTTCTAACTTTTTTTCTTTCGAAGAAGGCAAAAATTAGGAGGAGAGGAAACTTGAACATGGTACACCTACTCAGAAAGTTAGTACTCTAACAAGTAGGCTACTAAGTAATGCTCTTATTATATTTTTTACTCATTTTTATTGTTTGATTAGTATAAAGATTAAAAATGTATAGACTATATTAATATTATTTATTTTAATGTACTAAAAAAAATATATATGGTCTCAACATGTATTGAGTCGGACCTGGTAGTATTTCATGCTATAAGTATAAGCACATTATTACGAGTTTTTCACTATTTTTATTTTATTTATTGCGTGATCTATTACCAAGACATCTAATGCTTAATTAATTTGTAAGGATACTTTCTTCATTACTTTCACGAATCAATATTGGTTATTTAATTTTTAATCATGCTTGTCATCATTCTTATCTTTATATTTTATATAAATGAGTTGATCACGTAAATTCATTTTTATTTCATTTCTATGAAAGATTATTATTATTTTTTATTCAGTAAAATTATGTCTAATAAGTTCAGCCCATGTTATTTATTTTTTTATTTTTTGATGGCGTTGGAACTCTTCCAACTACTTGCTCTTTGAATTTGTAACTACTGGATAAATCCTCGACGACCGACCCCCGACCCCACATCCATGTTATTTTTGGATAGTCTATTGATCTCATTTTTACCGATTAATTACGTATGGGTATCGTACACACTCAATATAAAAATTGTCTAATGATTTTTAAATGCAAATACATTCACCACTCATGTTTTTAAGTAATCTTATCATGTATTAAGATTTGATTTGATTTGATTTTTTTTAAGACTTTGAATTTCAGGAAATAACATCACAAGTCTTAAAAGGTTATGTTGAGATTTGATTGGTGTACCATTTTTTTTCCCCTCTAAAAACGAAAGATATTATTATCAATATGATGAACGGTTTTATTGTGTCATGCCGCCAATTGAGACGTGGCGAAAAATAATTTAGGAGAAATAATTTAAATATAAAAATGCTATATAGAAGATTTTTTTTTTTTTTATAAATTTTTTCACGAATATTAAATTAGAAGTTAGTGGGTGCATGACTCAAATCTTCAACTTCGTCTCTTGCCCATCCTCAACTTTCTTTTTTTTTTTTTAGACCCAGTTTAGTTGGAGGGAAATGGAAGAAAAAGAAAAATAAGGTAAATGGAGGGAAATTATCAACTTTGACCAAAAAAAAAAAAAAAAAAAAAAAAAAAAAGGAAGAAAAATAAAGGGAATTGCAGGATTTGGAATGAAACAAATTACCAAAAGCATTCTAATGAAAACAGTAGTTTTTTTTATCCTTCCAAAAATAGGAGAAAAGATGAAGGAAATGAAAAGAAAGAGCTACAATGATATATATTTTTTCATTGGCAAAAAATAAACACAATTTAATGAAACTCTTTTATTTATTTTTTTATTACCACACTTACCATTATGTCACAAGACCTTTAATTTTAATGAAACTTTTATAATATCAATTTTGTCCTTACCTTTATAAAAAACAAAATCAAAATATCAAATGAGTCATAGGCATGATTTTATTTTTATTTAACTCTTTATTTGTGTTTAAATTGTCATTATTATTATTTTTTTGAAGGGTAAATGTTAGGAATTAGTTGGTGCAAAGACCCGAACCATGCCCTCCAAGAGCCAACGGGAGGCATCTTACCGATTAGGCTAGAAGACTTTGAGTATATTATTTTTCTTTTGAATGTGTATATAGTGATAAATTAATTTAAATAATTTCATTTTTTTTTTTTTTTTCGTGTGTGTGGGTGATACGTGAGTGGCTGTATGATATGAGTAAAGTTGAGTTTTAACCCTCTCACATTTGCGTGGAGAAAGACTCTACATGACATGAATATAGTTAGAGTTTTAGAACTTTATACATTTCTGTGTATATTATGAAGTGTTACTGTTGAAAGAATATGAAGATTTTAAAATAAGTGTTGACGGTTGAAAGAGTATGAAGATTTTAAAATATTATAGAGCTTGTAGAGATTTATATTAAAGTAGAGAGTTCTATACATAGGAAGATATTTAGGTAAAGAATTCTATAGATTATACAGCATCCTAAGCTATGATACCTATAAATTGATAAGGTTATCATTGGTAAGATACTAGTTTTTCTTTTCCATTATCTTATAATTAATATTTTCCATTTTCTTATAATTATATCAAATACGAGATGAGTTCAGATTAAACAACATATGAAAGCAAAACAATATTATGAGAGGTATAAAATGAGATGAGTTCAGATTCAAACATTGAATTTACATGGATCAAAGATCAAAGTTTGTATTCTGGTAACTTAAAACTCTTTACACATCATTACAAAAATTTATTAGTGACTTACTGTGAAGTAAATTTTTTTTTTACAAGATAAGGGGTGTTAGAAGTTAAATTAGTAAATGAAAAAAAGTTAAAACTTGACACTCCAAATTATTAGTGACTTAGTGTTAATGTTACGACTGCGAAGTAAATTTTTTTTTACGGAGTGTTAGAAGTTAAACTCCAAAATCCAGACCACTGGATTATCGAAACATCTACAATTTGAAGTAAAGTAAGAACATTAATTTTAACTAAATATCTTATAATGGCACCGTTTAATCAATACAAATTTTACATTTGACTTGACGCAAGTTTACGTAACAACAAAATAAGCTACTATTAAAAAAGACCTATATTTGGTACAATTCAAAATCTAAAAGCTTGAAATCAACTAAAATTTAAATGTCTAAAATCATATCACAAAGAATCTTTATATAAAGAATAAGTGCAGAAAACACCTCTAATGTATATTTTGCACCGTACTTTCATTCCTATTTTAAAAAGTGTACTAAAAATACTTATATTCTTTTAAAATTATGTGAAAACACCCCGGACCCCCTCTATATTTAACCCACTTTTAATTATATTTAACTCATTTTAAAGAATTTTCTTTTATCTTTTCGGGAAAAAATTTCTCTATATATTCTCACTAACACTTGTTCAATCATTTTGAACATTGTTCGTATAAATCCATGATCATATAAATTCAGTATAGGTACTACCAAAACACATTAGGTTATGTCTCTCTTTTTTGCTCTGCAACTATCAAAACGATTGAAAGGGCAAGCCCAATGATTGAAAGGGCAAGGTTGTGCTTTTTTGTTTTTTAAAGTTTTGACAAATGTCCAAATTTTGTTGAAGTTAATTTTAGGTAACGAATTGTAGAACATTGTTTCTGTTTATGTGTTCAGTGAATATATATATATACAATTTGCTAAACCATTCAAAAAAAAAAAGGTCATGGCACCTCCTCTAAACCAAAATGTCAAGTTTTGACTTTAAAATTTATTTTTTCATATAATTTGATGATTCGTGCAAGCAAGACCCTTACGTTTTCATGAGGAGAAACTTGATCCCAAGATTTGGGATTCCTTGGGATCTCATGAAAAAAAAAAATACCAAATATTGAAAAATCTAATGTTGTAAGCTAGAGTTCTCAAGCAAAGAACACGCTTTGGCTGAAGCATCATTAACGTCCCCTCTGGTTTTTTCCCCGAATAACCAAAATTTTGAATTGGTACTTTATAGAATTGGTTCAAAAGATCAATCTCTTTCAATTCTCTCTTGCTGTGAAGCATAATACTCTCACGTTATGTTCGGAAGCACCGAATCGACAACTTGAATTTTGAATTTGATACTCCCAAAAGCAACATTATAGAATTCCCTCTAATTTTTTTCCCTTACTGAGAAGTAATACTCAAAACTAGAGTTCTCAAGCAAAGAACATGCTTAACCTCCTCCAAGGAATTTCATGCATCACTAATATATTCCTCCTAGTTTCCACCCTATAATAGCCAAAACTGTTACTGCGAAGAAACTATCCAAATAATCAACCTCTCCAAATCCTATCTCTTTGTGAAACATAAATCTCCAAAAGAAACTCAAGTATATACCTGTTGAACACTTATATTCCAATTTTGGATGATTTTAACAAATTTTTGAGTATTAGATTGGATGTTGTTGAAAGGACAAAGGAACTGTTTTATAATGTGATAACAAAGGTGCAGTAGTATGTTTTCGTCCCGGATACATGGGACATTATGCTTTATAATCCTTCAAAAGTCTGGCTTCAGACATAGGATGGAAACTGGGAAGCTGATTATTTCATCAATAAAGGACCAACAATTTAAGCGTAAAACAGTCTAACCAATTCTATGAAGCAATCGGAAAGGAATGATACTTTTTGCAAATTCATAAGAATGATGAGTTTTGATAGTACGGTTGAAAATTACAAACGTTTTCTCATATTGGAATATGATGTTCAAATGAAATAATATCTGATGGAGTAAATGCAACATCGCTCTTTTGATGAAAAAAGAGTAATTTTATGGTAAAGTACCCAGTGAGAAATAGCTGACGATCAGATTTTCAAACACGTGTTTCCCCAGGTCTCCGGTTAGATGAGTCCTCTGCTTGTCCGAACCTGCAAATATGAGATCCAGTGAATGGGAAGCAATATATCAGATAACGATAAATGAAAATCACTTCATACTGGGGGATTAAATGGCAATAATTTGAGTAGTTTTTGAGGGATGCATTCCCCTTTCGAAGGCTTCTAAATAAAATTTTACTAATAAAAAGAAAAAGATGTACGAATTGTCTTACCAAATTTTATTCCTAAAATACTAACATATATATGTTTCATCTGGGGAAAAAAAAAAAAATTACACTAGACAAAAACACATCGTGAATGAAATATTAGTCATTGGTTATGCATACAAGTAAAAGGGGACATCATAAACACATTATTTCTTGCCTCATTCTTTAATTCCTCTATTTTTATTCTAACATTATGATTGAAGTTCAAGATGATGGCCCGTATAAACTATAAACACCTGATCCCATTGGATGACTATGTCAACGTAACCATTTTTTCTTACAGATTTCTATGGTGCTATCAGCATTCTTCTCTGCAATAAAAAATAATTGTAATCTCAGATGATTATGATTGCCATTTAGTGATACTTGTTTTGGGTCCAAGAAACTTGCATCTTTAAACCCAACAAATGTTGGTAACATGCCACTGGAGCTCCAGTTTATCCATGGATAACTTAAAACCATCTATGCACAGAATGTAACTGCTGCCAAGGATGGGGAATCAAAGCATTTTCTACTGTTGCAAAACAGTAAGGATAGTAAAGCAGTGGTTACAAGTACTTTCCACATTGAAAAGTTCATAAAGTGAATAAACACTGACCTTAACATGAAACCAACTTTACTCTGGAGGGCTGGCTTAGTTCTGATTATCAGTTAATCGGAAAAAAAGCAGCGAGATTCATCTGGTGCTTTGAACAATTGAAACTCTTGGAACTGGCTGCTGCCATTATTATGCAAATTCGATGAACGCACTTGGGATTTGGAAGGTGCTTGTTCCACCCGTACATATTCTGTTGAAGCAAGTACCCTATTTCGCGATTCTGCATGAATCACTGGCTGGGCCACACCGGTTTGGTTTACACGGGTGAGCTGCTCCAGAGAAATGGGTTCAGGCTCATTCAAACCCCAAGAATCAGTTGACAGAAGAGAGAGAGCACGTCGAAGCTCTGGTGCTACATCCAAGTTATTAGAAGTAATGGTAGATGCCTCTAAACCTGTAGAAAAAGATAGCCCAGCAAAGTAATAACAGTAAACCTTGGGCAAGAGAATCAGCAGCATATTAAGGGCATATTAAGGAAAACTTAGAAGTGCCTTTCAAATTTAGACAAGGTGGTGGGGAAAATCAGTAATCAGTTATGAGTCATAAAATAAGTGGGTATATTTCTATGCTGGCAATTATAAAATTAGTAAAGGTAGGAGCCAATTGTTCAAATCAAGTGAAGACACAAGACATGGGCCTAAGAATCACCGTTTTGCTTCCAAGGTTTCATCAGGCCACAGGAAATATGAACAATTAATTATAATTTGGGAGGTGATTTTTAATTGTAAAAGTAGCTAAACTGTTACTTTTGGAAAAACACACTTGATTAGTACAAATCCTAATTGTTGTTTATGCCATTTAGTAAAATTTTAATCTTGGTTGGAACGATTGGCAGGATTCTAGAAATCCTAGGATTTGAAAATTTTCTAGTATTCTTTAGATTTGAATCCCGAGAATTTCAAATTCCTATCATGTCTACTACAACCATGTGTTTTAAACCAAGTGGAATGACCAACTAAAAGTACTCCTTTTTCTTTTCACCAAATAGAAATCTCCAGATCTTAACAAAATTCTTTACATATGCACGCCAAGATAATAAAATCCACAGGGGGGTTGGCGATGAGGGTGTTTCTTTACCCTCTCAATAGCAGATTACCCAACCATCAAAACCATTCAATTCATTCATGTGTCAAAGATCTTTTGCATTCTTATACATCTTGCTCCTTCAAATTTTCTTCTTTTGGCACCACTTTCTCTGATAGAAATGACCCTTTGAATTCTATGGAATTTTGGAAGTTTTGGACTTTGGTTCAAAATAACAAGAATTTACAAATCAAATTATTAAAATCCTGAATTTCATTATCTAATACTCCCTCCATCCCAAAATAAGTGTCCAACTTTTTATTTTTATCCATACCAAAATAAGTGTCCAATTTGAAAACTCAATGTACTATTTTTTGTAATATTACCAATTTAACCTTCTTGCATTGAATCTATAAAAAGTAAACCATCACATCACTGTGGACCCATTAGGGCTAAATTTGGTAATTCATTCACTACTAATACAATAAAAAAATAATAAAAAGTTGGATTCCAAAAAAAAAGGGACACTTATTTTGGGATGGAGGTAGTAATTCGTTAAATTTCATGACTTCTAAATTTTGCAATAAGAACAAAACCTTAATGGAATCAATTACAGTCCAATAAAGAGAAAGGAAACAAACCATGATTAAGGACCCGAGGTGTTGTGCACTGGAAAGGCAAGACCCTATCCGAGTCAAGATGTAGCTTAGAAATGGCGTTGGACGTATCATCACTGGACAGATGTTGCTGCCTACCAAATGTCCCGGATTTTGCAGGCCGACACAGAAAATCTCTGGCTTGTGCAACCTCAAAGCTGCAAGCAGTTTGCCATGTTGGGTTTGGAACTGGGTTGGGGATCCTGTTGAAGAAAAGATTCATCTGCTGACTCCCGTCTGTTCAGGTCCAAAAAGGAGGAGAAAATGACATTTATGAACATGCATTAAACCAACTATGATTGTATAATAGGTTAATGAAAGAGTTGATTATAGAAATTTGTTAATACGATATATTTTGAAACAAGTTTGTGATAGAACAGGTTACATGAAATAAAAAAGTTCATTATAGAAATGTGTTAAAAGGATATAATTTGAAACAATCTTGTGAAAGAACAGAAGTTACACGAAAATGAAAATGACAGTCACAAGTCTTCAAGTAAATTAACCAATAATGATCAAAGTGACTTCAAAACCCAATTTTCCCAGTACTATTTAAAACTAATTTGCTATAATAAAGAAAATCGCTGATTAGCAGCAAAAAGAATGTAAAACCAACGAAAACCTTAATAAAAAATGAATGAAACAAAATGTAACATTAGAAAATTAAGTATAAATGTTACGTCAATATATACAGGAAGAAAGCTTAAATTTTGAGAGCGAGAAGAGAACCGTAAAATAATGAAGGTAGGCCTGCGGAGTTGAACTGGCTTGCCTCTGGCTCAGGCCTGCGGCGCCGTGCATTGTGCTCAGAGAGGCGCCTACGACAGCTTCGCTTCTTATCATCAAACTCCGACAAACCATGGAACCTTAAAAATTTTCAAACAAGTAGCTGTCATGCCAACATCCCTAACAGAACCCTCCAGTGATAGACAGCTTGAGGCAAATTTTCATACACCATAAGCACAAAGATAAATTAAACAAAACCCAACCAAAATATGATAAATTTACAGAACAAACTTCGATAAAATTATTCTTGTAATTAAATTTCTACCTTAAAATAATTAAGATTCATACAAAAAACTTGCCTGCTGCACTGTTGGCAAAACCGGCGCTCCATCCCAGCTACAATTACCTTTGGGCTTTTGGAATGGCTTTCGCAGATTTTATGTCGGCGATGGTAGTCTTTGGCTGACTTCAGATCAAGGTTGCATCCTTCTACCTGACAGCGTGGGGTCTGCATACTCTGATAAGATGACCTAGATCTCTTTGTTGTAGCAGATGATGTATGAATTGCAGAAAAAGATGCAGTCTTTGTTGCACTAGGAGCACACATTTCTTCAAAATATGTCCTTTTACCAAGCTTTCTATCAATTACTGGTGCACCAGACCCAACAGAAGGCCCAAAAGTAGTAAAATTCTCTCTGTAACCCGTAGTGGCAAACTCTTCCTTCTCACTAAAATCTTTCGGCAAATCATCAACAGTACTAAATGTCTTCATTCCCCCCTCAGATGAAGAATTGGCAGAAGCTGAGATGGAGCACTTGGATAAAGAGCTATGTCCCAAACTAGAGCCAGATAAACCAGCGCCTCCCAATAAATATATAGACCCATCATCAACTCCATTTCCTTCAATCTCGTGCATGGGAATTTGTAATCGTCTGGGAATTCCAATTGCCTTGCCACTGAACATTGGTAGAATTTCCCAATCCAACTCTCAGAGAGTTCTCAAGTTCCAATCCATCACTGAAATCAATCTCACAAAAGAAATTTAAACACTATCAATAAAATGCTAAAACAATCGTTTCTGGTGAAACACTGCATCTGGCACGTGTGACCCTGAGTTAAAAAGTTGAAATAGTGTAAAGAAAGCAGTAAAGGAATGACATAGAACAAGTGCGACTACACGATAAGTGGCAGAAGCAATCATGAGCTATATCAATCACGCCGTAGACACAAGGAGAGTAACAGTATTCATCGGAAAAAAGAGAAGAGTAACAGTAATGCAAGAGCTAAACAAGTAGAAATATGATCATGCAAGCAGTTGATAAACAAGTTTAACCATACTCTTGACTTATAAAGCACACTAGAAATTGGATCTTACCTTCAAACTCAAATCAACAAATTGCAGGGTTTCAGGATGCTCCTCTGTTTGAACAGCAACATACAAAGTAGGTCACAAGTTGCTCTGGTGCTCCCTTCAAAAGAACAGATTAGAAGCTTGCTCCCTGAGCCTAGAAGAGACCCATACAAACCAATAAAAGCCAATGGTGGCAGATAAGTAGGTCAGTAACTAAATAACAACAGAAGATGTTCCATTAAAATTGTCGTTTTCTTCATCGTAGTCTCTCAACACTTTAGTTTCCCTTTCCACCCCAAATACACCAGTGTAACTCAATCTGTCAGACTCCACCATGTGGACTCATCTTGTTTACATTTTGGCCGGGACAAAATACATTCAGCACATCACTTGGATTATCCTGCCACATGATTACCCCACATCAGCACCACTTAAACCCCATGTACCTAATCATTCCATCCTGGAGTATAACTAAAATACTGTTGCAGTAAAATGTAGCATTTAGTTTACCTGGATTTTCTTTGAAGTGTCTATGGATAAAGCCAGAGATAAAATTTAACCTTTCTCACCCTCTAATTTAACACATAGATCCACACAAAAAATCTAAGTTACTGTAAACCAACATGACTTCTACAATTTTATTCGAATAATGCTGATTTTACATTGTCAGAATTAAGACTGACAATCTTTATATCCCCTTCAGTCTATTCTTTCTCTCTCTCCACAACCATTAGTGTAAAAATATTACACCATTCAGGCAAAAGTTACTGTGCCTTGAATGATAACTAACTTTAGGAAGGTCATTGAATGAGCATTAAAGCTGAAACTTTCATTCACTGTCATCACCTTTCATCTTCTAGCTGCAAAGCCTGAAATTGATTTATCATGCCACTTCACAACAATTATTGAATCCTTTAACTGAATCTCAATTCTTCAATGTTGACAGATAAAAAAAAGGTTATAGTTAGATGCACATGCCTTTTCCTATGGTTTTCCAACTGGAATTTACAGTTAAAAATCCACCTGTAATTCTCCCAAAACACCTTCCGGTTAAAGCTTTCCTCAATTTCTTCCCAGTAACACATACACATATATTCATATATACAAACACATTCATATATTGGAGGGGGAAACAAATTTAAGAACATCTACTGTTTGGACCCACCAACACTGTGTAGATATTGCCCGTTTTGCGCTACACGCGCTCACAATTTTCAAAACACGTCTACAGATATACCCTTAAAAGTGCGACTTCACACCCGAATCTGCGATTGAGCACTTCTGAACCACTGCATTTATTTCCTAAACCCTAGAATCTTTGCTACACTTCAACCAGAACAATCACTTTCAAAATGGTTTAGAGTTCAAAATTTAAACCCAATTAACAATGTATCTCTTGATGGCAACAAGCAAGTGACCAATCAACTCATGGGTCTTAATCAAATTACTGAACTTCTTCCTACTGTTAAATATATAAAGGGCTGAAGATCCAAAAAAATTCACAGCCACATATTAACCCTTTCTATAACTTTTTGCAAGCACATTGACAACGACAACACCAGCTATGTCTTTTCCAATCAGGCAAAAGCAACAACTCAATCTTTATAACCTAAGCTTGTTCAGTGTCAAATTAAATCCAATTTGTAAGCATTCAACAGCTAGGGACAAAAGGGACCATCTATCCACTGAGATGGGGCAACTATTGTTAACATGACATAGAAGAAAAACAATAATTGTTCAACTTTTTGGAAAATTATACTATTAAAAATCAATCAGAAGATAAGCAATTATAGAAGTCACGAAACTAGGTTACTATTTTTTACATCGAATTCCCTATGCATTTACAGGAAATCTAGGGTTTCAATATCTGAAATAGTAACATAAGGTTCCATTGTTTGCCTCATTCAACCAATCAGCAAGGAATCCATTCCTCTTTATACCCAATTCAGAAACTCTAGACAGAGAGTGTGTGCGCCTATTTATATAGGTAGAGAGAGAATGTAATGAATATCTACAATTACATACAAATAAAAAACACTTCTATATAACTTAATTATGAGTTATGAGTACTACTAGAGAGAGAAAGCTAGAGAGAGAGAGAGAGACAAAATGAGTTGAAAGCGGACCATATGCAGCTAAAATAGTCAGAGGTCTGCCATTTGAATGAATCACTGCCACCATTGAATCACAGTTAGAGAGAGAACCAATGGAGTCTAGACATGTGCCCAGAGCTCATAGGGCTGGATTCACAGTTTCACAGTGATTTTTGCTGCTGAACAGAACAGAGCCGAAAGCGATTGCACATGAGGAGGCCGAGTGGACTCGGGATAGATGAGTCGACTCAGACTGATTACTCTACTGAGTACTATATTATTTAATTATATTGTATAAAAGTGGAAACTTGTGGAGAAGAAGAAGCGGAGAGCCATAGATTCGTTGTTATTTATAGGATTTAATTGCAGTTTGCAGTTTTACCATTACATTGATTATGATTTATGAAATGACCTCTCTTCTTTGATTGTAATTACTTTTCCCTACTTTTATTTTTTTTGAAACAAGTGGTAGATAAATAAATACCTTGAAATTTCAAAATTTTGCAAAACACCCCATTTCTTAAATTACGTTAACAAATAAATGGTAAAATTCCTAATTTGCCCTTTTGGATTAATTTTGTAAAACCCTCATAAGTTTAATAATTTGCTTATTATCCCTTGTTTCGAAAAACTACTATTTTGAATCTATAGGTAGGTATGGATGGAACTTGAGTAATGTTTCTCTTAAGGATAAAAGAAGAAGAATAGAATCTATTCATGTTCATGCTAATAGAAGCGTGGTAAGTACTTGTGGAATTGTGGGATATAATGCCCCACAAATGAGTTTTTATTTTTATATTTTGAATGACGTTGAAATTCTCGTAATTATTTGTCATTTGGACTTGTAATTATCAGGTAAATTCTCGACTATTGACCTGGGTCCCACAGTGCGAGTAGCATTTTAAATCAAGAATTTTTAAAGTTGGAGGAGAATTGAACCCCACAAATGAGTTGCCAAGTGCCCCAAGTGATTTATTTATTTTTAACATGTTTGGGAGGTTTTGTGCAATTAATCTTAAAAACAATTTAGTAGGGAGTAATATGTAAGACACATTTGACAGCGGCTGCCCAAGGAAAATTGGGTTGTTGGCCTTATTTGCAAATTCAATAGTTTGCGAGTATTAATTTTATTTTGGAAGTAACAAGTAAATATTTTGAACTGCAAGGTTTTTGTGTAATTAAGCCTTTCTAATTTTAATTGGACCTCAGTTGTGGAGTAACTTGTAAAGTCATTTGATCATTATTATAATCATTGCCTTTATTCGCAAGGCAGCACCTCTTCAATTATTTCCCATAATACCTTCTACCTTCACTTAGATTTAATCTTTCTATTTCATTTTTTATTAAAGAAGAAGAAGAAGAAGGGGGAGAAGAAAAGTTGAGTCAATCCCTTTGATTTTTTTTCTTTAATTTAAAGATCGAGTTAATTTTTATATGCCTGTACCAGACTTGAACACTTGAAATACCACTTGAACAAAGTTATTAGTCATCTAATCTCTTTGCGCAACCTTATTTTAAGCATAATTTTTTATTATTTGTTTATTTTTTTTTTTTGAGGGCAAACTTTGGCCCAACAGTAAATTTGCTACTTCATTATCATATGAAAATCATGATTTCGATCAAATATTCAATTATTTTTTATTATCACATCGGAATTCAGAAAATACGAAAACAAATGCATACATACATACAAGTGTCTCACCTTACACTGAACATAATCATGAATTTTTTTATTGGTTGAATAATTGTTAATTCTTGCATTGCTTCACAGATCTTACCAAGACGTCTTCATCTTATTCTTAATTGAAGATACTATAAGATAGCTCACTTCTCTTTCCTTGTGTTTTGGACACACATTCACTTTTGTAACAAATAATGGAGCAGGAAGCAAGAGAAGAAAACTTAGGACCACATGTCCCCATCGTTCATTGATTGTATTAATGTTTTTTTGTCTTAAACTTAGGCATATGGTCCCCTGAATTATTAGGATGATGTTCATCATCTGTTTTTGTGGTTGTTGCCAACTATATTGTAATTTAGTCCCCTTGGACTGACTATCAACTTAGGCAAGTCTCCCCAGTGTGTACTCAAAACCCATTGTCATCTTGTAGCTCTTGTTAATTGCATAAAAAAAAGGAAAAAAACCTGTCACCTTCTAAAGTTGTCATTTAACCATCGTCGTCATCATCATTATCGTTCCCTTAATTCTGTATGGACGAAGTCGGTCACATTAATTCACTCTATAATCTGAAGACGCCATTTAATCTAATAAGTAAACTCTCTACCAAACAAAATAGAACTGATATGTAAGGGTTATTCTATCTATAGTTTTATCGTAGCAAAAGAAAATAAAAATTAGGGATAGTTACACTTACCTAATAGAATGACACTAACCTCCCATGTCATAAAAGATGACACTCGTCATATTCAAAATTTACTTAAAACCCAATAATGTCTTTAGAAAGCTTGAAAATGCTATTTCAAGCATGTTAAACTAATAAAAGTACAATGGGTAAAATAGTCATTTAACACATTCGGATCAAAGTCAAGGCGTTCAGCGTATTTTTTGAAACTATATGGGAAGTCTCTATAAGTGTAATTATCCCTAAAAATTAAGATAAACAACTTCACACATGAAACGAAACCAAAATAAACAACAAAAACTGAAAATTGTTAAGAAGAAGAAGTAATTTACATGCTCAATCCTTGATTTTCAAGAGGAACTAAGTGAGCCAAGGTAATGTGCAAATGCAATGACTTTTCTAAATTGTTCTGGTCAAGTATCAAGAAACGTTTTCATTGTACATATGGAAAGAAAAGATTGATGATGAGAGTTTGACAGACACATGGAGGTGTTACGAGCCTAACATCGCATGCGTACGAGTGATTCTGACCTCCTTAAGTGGCTACAAGAAACACCACAGAGTGAGACAGAGACTAGTCCTTTCGTGACAAAAACTTGCGGGTCTTCTTTCTGGTAAACTTTATTGTCCACCAAGAAAAAGGTTAAGAGACGACTCTAGTTATATAAATTTTTGGTGGATGATTTTTCAACAATAACAATCTAGATCACACAAAGTCACAGCATCCTTCTAAATTTTTGGTGGATGATTCTTCAACAATAACAATCTAGAAGCAGAACTGTTTAAGCTCAGGTTCAGACAACAGACTTCATATATATAGAGAGAGAAGTATCAGTGAAGCAATACTAAGAATTTTATTATTCAAAGAGGTCATGTTTGGTACTGTATCGAATAAGCAATGTACATAAATAAATTTCAGGTTTCAGGCAAAAGAGAAAAGGGTAAAATGTCACATATGTTTCGACAAAGCTCCAACTGTTCTAGCTTCAGACTTGGTAGAAACATACCCTCAAGATCACGAAGGACAAAGCTCCACATGGTAGAAACATACCCTCAAGACCACTCTTTGTTCACATTTAGTGGCATGCCCTGCGCATACTTGTGTTGACACACCAAATGAGTAATCAAACCAAAGATTGAAATTGACAAGCAGCAATAAGAGAGAGAATAGAATAAGTATTAAGCACACAAAAAAGAAAGAATAGAATAAGTGAGTGCAGCCACCAGAAGCAAGTTCACACCAATTATGCACAAAATGAGGGTGTGATCTAAAGTGTTCACATCATATGTGTGTGTGTGTGTATATATATATATAATAAGTATAATACACGCACATACATGGTAGAAAAGAGGATTAAATTGATATTAACTTTAAAGGCAATTGGCAAAGATGAGTATGTAGACAAGAAACACAAATGATGTGCTATGAATCATCAAAAATTACGCACCAGACAGAACTGAAAGTCAAGAGCGATTCAAATAGCAGATTCCATGTAATTACACTCCAGAGATTCAAGTAAAAGATCCCAAATATTTACATTTCAAGGCTTCCCCGAGTTGTATAGTTACAACAAGACACTTCTCAAATATTTCACCTAATTAGAAACCAAATAAAAACGATGATATTTACCCACATACTCTCAAAATTTCTAGTTAATAGAAAAGATGGAAATAGTAGAAGCATCAAAGCAGTTATACCAAATAATAGAAGTGATCTGACATGTGACATATTTAACAAAGAAAAAGAATAATCAAATGATATCTTATCCTCTGATTTTATTCAGTAATATTATAATAATAATTTCCTCCTCATCAAAAGAGAGAGATGTAGATATCTTCAGCAGATGCTCAATATCATTTCTTCATAATACTATCCGACAGTAAAAATTGTTTCAGTGCGGCCCATGGCACTATAAAACAAGTACCACTTTGGACCATGCTTCAGATGAAGTTCACAGGCAAGGCACTCTCAGGAGAGTATTATACTTAAAAGAGAGGGAAAAGGAACATAAAGCAATGTGAAAAGCTTCTAATGATATATAGTTCGGTTGAAGCTAGCAATTGAATCAAATGAAGAGTCTAAATTTACAGAACCTACTAAACTCTATAAATAAGATGAGTATTTACGCAAAACTTCGATGAATATTATATTAAAACATTCAAAAAATGTGTTTACAGTAGAATTTGGCAAATCTGTAATATGTATGTAATATTTGAAAATGGATATAATATCCATAATCTTGATTTTCATTATAATTCAAAGAATTACAAGGAATTTATGTGAATAAGTAGTATCTGACCAATGACAAGGTATTAACAGAGTATAGCTACAATTCATCCAGTCCCAGGTCTGGTTTCCACATTCTGATACTAAGCACGAGTCAAGAAAAGCCTCTATAAGGAATCTGAAAGCAACCATTGTTGAGCCGGAGAAAGAGTAGTATTGCTGATACACTCGACCTTGTCTGGTACTTTCTTATATTTTAAGAAAATCAAAAGAGTAAGAAGGGTAAAAAATCTATCTAATGCCGCTTCATTTCTCGAAAAATATTTGCCACCTTCGGGGATAATCTTGGGAGGAATTTAAACAACTGCACCACAAACATAAGAACAATATGTAAGAATGTTTCATGAGAATTCATGCAAAATTCTAACTACATAAAAGGAACAAGTGATAGTGACTGGAAACTTTTATGAATACAAAAAGAAGCTAATGTCAATGGGAACTTACTCCATCATAAAGCATCAATCAATAATCCTAACTAATACTTGCATCCAACTTATTATTACTATTATTATATTTTTTGGGGTGGGTTTGGGTTTTGGGTGGTGGGGGGGGGGGGGGGGGGGGGGGGTGGTGGGGTGGTGTGGGTGGGTGGGGGGTGTGTGGTTTTACCAAATTCTGTATTCTAGACCACTAAAAATTTGGAAGATGTGGCCTCCATACACGTGGTCTTTGGCGCCTCCATACACATGGTCTTTGGCGTAATGGCAAATTTAGGTAAACTCAAGGCTGAGTTGCATCCACAATAATCCTTCTGATAACTATTTTGAGTTAATCTATATGCATCAAACATTGCATCCAACTAAAAAGTTCCCTTGAACACATTTATCAGTGTGTCACTGTGTCTAGATAGGTCTTAAATCTAAATAAAAACAAACAATGGTCTTGACCTAAGATGCATCTACTGATGCGTCCTCTGGAGGAACATGATTGAGCAACTAGGGATGCATGCCCAATTTTCTACGCTTAGACATAATTATAGGTGCATCTGAAATGGATAGTTGACTCTCGTTTTTTGAATTGCTCCTAACCCATTATGATATTAAAGTAATTATCTTGGTGTGTGAATTTTACTTTACTACCTTGCTTTTTAGATAGGCAACCTCTTGGTCAGGTTCACTTTGCAATTCTCAGAGATAAAGAGATGTTACCCCATTAACATTTTATAAAGGCACAAAATGGAGTTAGGCTGAAGTTCATGCAAATGATCCCGGGATAATTTCTAAGATGCGCACGCATCCCGTTTGAGGTTAATCATAGTTTTCTAGTGTTGTCCTTTGCCATTGCAAGGTCTTGATGATCATGTGCCTATTAAAGAAGAGGGACTTGATTAAAGGACTCATACGAGATTTATTCCAGACCTATCCCTTTGCATGCTTCTAAGGCTCAAACTCGTTTTCAAGTACAAGAGCTTTAAAGCAGGAGCAAATTCCTGTTCTTGCCGAGTAGGAGTGAAGCAGCTCCGAAGTCCTATTGATGTCTGAATAGGAATACATTCCATAGATGTTATTAGGGTTGATTTGAGGAGTAATATACCATAAGAACCTAGATATTGTAAGGTTCAGATGACCTTAGATACTATTAGGTTTAAATTTTAAGACCCTAGATACTATAAGGTATGATGCTACAAACCTAGATACTACTTTGTTTGAACTTGCAAACCTAGATAATATTAAATCTGGAATGGACAACCAAAAGACCATTAGTTTTGAATTGGGCAACTTAGATATTATTAGGTTTTTATTTGGGAACCTAGATACTGTTAGTAGACACCCCTAGACGCTACAAGAGTTGAACGACCTATATATTACTAAATTTGTATCAGGCAACCTAGATGCTGATAGGTTTGTTTTGGGAACCTCTATAGTATTAGAGTCAATTAGATTCCCTGAGATCCTATTAGGGTTACTTAGATGGCCCTAGATACTATTGGGACAAATATGAATTCTTCAGCTACCACTAGGGTTGATTTTAGGTCTCTAGAAACTATTAGAGTTGAGGAAAGTCCTAGATATTACTAGGTAGATTGAAGTATTGATCATCATCATTCTAGCCTTTTTCCCAAAAGAATGGGGTCGGCCCCATAAATTCTCATTTTCCATCTATTATATCGTACGCCATCATTATTATCAACTATAGGGTACTGATGGCCAAAAATGAACTTATTGAAGAATTTGGGGGACTAAATATAATTTCTAAGATCTTCAGGTCAGATGCAATTTGGACACTAATTAAGGTTGCGGTTCTTGATGGAAATTGGTAGATTAGGGGGATGTTTTTGCAATTTTGAAAACATGGAAGGGGTAAATAACAAAATATCAAGAAGAGCCAAATAACTGCCATCCACTGCGAAATTTTTATTAACACTTTCTAGTAAGCAATAATACATTCTCATGTCAAAATATTTCAGATATAGACATACCCAAAGCTTCACGCATGCATCAATGATAACTGGAACTAGGCAGATAAATATAGTTATGGCAGACTGATCAACCTCAAGCCCATAATGCTCCACAATGATCTCTATTAAAGTCTGCCAACCAGATTCAGAATGATACCTGTTTGAAATTTCACAATCAACTGTTTTAGAGTCCAGAAGCACAAAATTCAGATATAGGGTCACAAGTAGTATAACTTAAATTGCAAGGAAAAAGAGTAACATCATGAAGCATCAGGTCTAAGGTTCAAACCCGGGTGCAAACAATTCCTTGAGGGGTGGTGTGTGAGTACCAACTACGGAAAAAAAAGAAGGAAAAAGAGTAACAGAAAAACCCGCAAAGATGATGTCAGTATGTTTAGAGAAAGAGGGTTATCAGGAGGAAAAAAAATCAGAGAAAGAGACTAAGAGTGTTAGTTTCATGGAAAAGATTTGGTCAGATAAAATACTTTTGTACCTACTTCAAAATATTCTATAGAACAATAAAAACGATATCAATAAACTTAATATTTTATGTCAAGATAAAAAAAGGCAGGTTGTCCACCTCATATCACCATTCACCACTATAGTTCTGGTTAACATCAAATACATTCCATACAGATGTAACTTGTACAAAAACTTGATTTTAGCCTACTTGTGTGAACATCGCTTTAAAAATAAAATTATTTAATGGGAAGAATGTGCTAATCAGTACTTCCATGAAAGAGCAGAAAATATTACCCTAAAAAAATATCTGTAATAAGAATAATTAGAAATGCTTTCCCAGTGTCCGACATATTATTTATTATTTTATACCCTGTAAATTTCAGCAAAGCTACCTGCAAAAGACAGATGAAAAGGAAAAAAAAAAAAAAGGAGGTCAAATGGAAAGACAAGTTAGTTATATGCAAAGTAAATTTATAGGTATGCCTTGCACATAAATGCCCAAGCACAGATGAGCAAATAAATGAGTATGCAGCTACAAGAACACAATATCAATTTGGCAGTTTCTTATAGATTTCAATGGCTACTCCTTGATGTTTTACAATTTTTAACTTTACCAAACCACTCCAAATTAAAATAAGAATCTCACTTAAAAACACAACTTCCCCCATCACTCCTAGTCTAATGGACAGTTCAATAATACAGGACTGTTAAAGATAAAAGTGTACTTGAAGCATTACAGATTGATGAGGCAAGAACAAAATACTGATAGTTTTTATGCAAATTGATCACTAAATTACAGAAATGTCAGAGAAGAACTGAAATTCTCTGTCTAATTTAGGAACGTAGCAAAATTTGACAATGTGGATCTAGTTATCTTAGCTCAAGAATTAGAGGATACACGGCCAAGTAGTTGTGAATTTAGTTATTAATCCAGTAAACAGATATATTTCAACAAAAATACATGAAAACAAATTGCCCATGGATTAGATACAAATCAATTCAACTCAACAAAGCCTTAAGCTCAACTACTTGGATCAGCTACATTTATCCTTCATTGTCATTCAACTATCTAGAGACAATGGAAAGTCTTGTATAGGCAAATACCTCCACAAAATTTGGTTGCAGGTGAGTCAACTGAAGATGATGAAATCGGAGCTATATTGAAGACTATGTGGAAAATTCCTCAAGCTCAATCACATGATAGAAAGCATTAAGAAAAAGACCTTAATGGACTAGGTTGGTTAATCTAATAGATAGTTGGACCACCCAAGACCTAGATATCTTCTGTGGATATCTATAGTGAAATTAACCACAGTTAATGCAACCGCAAATGTTTTCACTACTAGCTTTCAACTAATTGATTGGTTGACTATTGTTGTCATTGATGACAATGATGGCATCAAAATGTGAACTAATATCAAGACATTCAAATGAAAAAATGTTACCATATGGAAGAGTATGGCAGAAACAGAAAATGACAACTCACTTTACTCTGATTGAAGTATAAAAGAATGAACAATGATATCCCAAATACTATATCCGACCATATATTGGCAAATTCTCTGCGGTTCTCTAACCTCCATTCGTCGCGCAACTCTATCCTGATATGGCAAGGAGTGTGACAAATTAGTATTTGATCATTCAGTAAATTAAATACAGATTTGAAATTTAGGTCTGTGAGAACAGAGCACAAGAAACATTCTAGAAGACAAATGTGTAATAAAACATAACCAATGGTAGCATGCCTATTTGGAAAAAAATAAATAAATTGTAATTCAGTAATATTTCAGCCAACATTTAAGTACTCTATATAATCTGAGTGGACCAAAAAGTGCATCAATTATAACATCAGAATGGCAGTGAGATTCGAACCTAGGACATTCACTCTGATACCATGTTAACCAACCAAGTCTTCTAAAAGCTTAGGCTGTCAGAAAGGGTATAAATAATTTTCTTATTCTTTGATAGCAAATAATATGTTGGGACTAACTACTTAGAATGACATATTTTAAGAGAATTTTACTAGTTTGAGACTTACATGTGGTCATATGCTACAGAGTAGCAAGCAAGCAATGCAGTAAACTCTTTAGCAAGGTTGGTAAGAAAGAAACGATCATATGTATATAATAATTTCTTTGCTTTTCCTTTTTAATTTCCTCTCTACATTACCATTTGAACATTGACCATATGAGAACAAAATATCGATGAAACAAATAATATACAACTGTCAACAAGCACCACACATCATTAATCTTACGCTTTATGCTGTAACTCCAACCAAAACTCCTCGTCAGAAAGAGGTGGAGATTTACCAATCTCTACCTCAAGCTTAATTCTTGCTTTCTCAAGTTTTAACTCCTTAACCATCTCAAGTTTTTGCTGTTTTCTCACGTCAAGCATCTCTGCTGCAAGTGGTACAGTCTTCACATACCTGTTCAGAAAAGAGAGGCAAGTTGATCAATTGTTGTGAACATAGAGTTTAAAGGACACTTATTACTTCTTAATGTTGTTTGGTCTTAGTTTAAGACTCATTTTTTTGTCTTGTTTTTCTTTGTTTCCAAGTGTATTGGAAATGGTCCTTTTCAGTCTTCTTTTCTGAGTTGTAATCAGTGGGGGTATGCCTCCACTTTTTCCATTGTACTGAAGACTTATTTTTGTTAATGGAAATCAACACATTTATGGAGAAAAAAAAAAGGAAAGAAGACACTTATTACCATTGACAAATATAATAAATCCTCAACTACAAGCTAATTCTATTTATTTTAACTATGCTGTTCACGTAAAAAAAGGAATTTGATTAAAACAAGAAAGAAAGAAAGAAAGATCGTCCCACCAAAAAGCATATACGCAACAGGATCAGGCAAGAAAATTGTTCAGCAACCCCCACCACCACTAAAACCAAAAAAATAAAAAATAAAAACTGCCCTATAGAAGTAAGAGAACTTACTTGAGATAAAAGCATTAATGTTCCAATAATTACCTGTCCAAAAAGGGCATGAGAACGTAATCATGAACCAAAAAGTCCAAGGCCCATGGTACAATTACCAACAATGCCAAAAATTTAGCCTGCAAGAAGAAGAATGAAGATGATTAACCAGTTGGCAGAATTTCTAAATAATTAGAAGTCAAAATATACTTATCAAAATAAAAAAAAATAGAAGTCAAAATATGTGTTGTAAATTTTGTAATAATGTAGAATGTAATGAACTTCAAAAAAAAAAAAAAAAAAAACAATTAGAAGTTTTGTTACTAGTCAGTTATTTAAATAATATACAGTTAGAAGTTTATACCATACAATCTTTTGATCATTTGACCTCATAAATAAACCAAATCATTTCAATAATTCAGGAATTGAATTAAATTAAGTAAAAGATAAGAAACCAGAATAGGGTATCTCATCATAAAGAGTACATGAGAAGCGCATGCAGGGGTAAGGTAGCATAGAATACTAAATAATGGTTGCTTCACTTAAAAATTTCGCCTAATAAAAGGGCAAATTTTGTACTGATACTTGAAAATTTTCAAAAAAACTAGAAATACAAACATTTATATTAGGTATAAGGGCATAAAAAGTCATTGCTTAGGTGGCTTTGGACTTAATTCCACAAGCCAAAAGCAAAAGAGAGATAAAGGATGTGCATTTGTTTGTGTGTGGGAGAGAAAGCAAAGGCGAGGGAAGGGGAGAGACAGATCATTAACAAATGTTCCACTGTAAAAATAGGAAAAAAGAAAAAGTATGAGAAGAACAACGAAGAAGAATCAGAAGATGACAAAGTGAAGGATGAACTTTAATACCATTTGATCCACAAAAAAGGGATGGAAGTGTCCTTGCACACATGCATTAATATGGGTTGACCTATATAGAACATGAATTATAGCACTTTTTCGGAGTGAAAAGTGACCTCTTAGGTGCCAAGATTGATGTTCTTTTTCAACCTAGACTGCTTATAGTAATTCTGTGGCGTAGGGTCAAGAATGTAACCAATCATAATAAGAATGTAATCGTGTCAAAGCCTATACTGAAATTAATGTCATCGCTCTGAATTCCTGTCACTATTTTGTCTCTTCTCCATTCATATTGCTGTAAAACGAAAATAAAACCTTGTATTCGTTTTCTAGAAGTAATGTCAAAAAATGTTGGACCAAGACAAATGGATGAAGAGTTTAAATTGTCAATTGATAAGTTTTTTAAGCTTCTAGAAATACAATCTTAAAAAACCAAGTCTTAGTACATGTTATTTGAAAAAAGAAGAAAGGATATTTGTATCAAACTTCATTGTTTAAAGAATTTATAAATTGCATTACAATTTTTTTTTTTTTTTTTTTTTTTTTTTTTGCCACAGATGATTTATTCTCAAGTTTTTGTATTAAATTTCTTTTTTTGTGGTACCACATGTTCAGTGAACCAACTGGCTTATTGTTGATTCTCCCGATTAAAAGATGAGGTTCCAAGTTATATCTTATTTTCTGATGATATTGACTTCTAAGCGGAAACTTTAGAATCAAGTGGGTTCAAAATAAGTATGGCTAGAATTGAATGTATGAAATATAACTCTTAACAAAACTATTTATCCAAAAAAAAAAAAAAAAAGAATAGATTTTTTAAATAAAACTGGGAATATGAATAGAGAAATAGTGAAGGTAGAAGGTCCAGAGAAACAAGAGTGAATGCCTTGATAGTTTATGGTTAATTATTCATTGTGAAGGATTTATGGTTAGTTATTCATTGTGAAGGACAGATTAGTGATAGTGTTTCTTGTACTATTAATGCTAGATGGGGGTGGAAGAATGCTTCAAGCATATTATTTGTGATCAACTTAAGCATGCAGGTTGAATGAAGGTTTCTACAAAATAGCTATTAGACCGACCATGCTTTATGGAAAAAATATTGGTCGACTAAGAAATATGTTCATAAGATGTGAGTACCTAAAATGCAAATATTGAGAAAAGTTTATAAATGAGTACATTCACAATATGTGGAAGAGTCTTCATTGATTATAAAAAGGGAGAAACCCAAGTAAGATGGTTTGGCCATAGACAATGAAAAGAAATTTGAAGAAGAACAGTAAAAGAGAAAAGAAATGAAGAACAAAATGTTATATAGTATATTCCATAGTGCGACAAATGTTTGAATGTAGGATGATCAAATAAAAAGGCACATGCCTGCCATGGGACATAATCCTGAAGGTCCAAAATCCAAATGCTTATTGTAGAGACATAGTGTAACAATACTCCATATATGCATTGTGCAACCAGAAACTGTCTCCTTTCTTATCTCTATTGTAAAGGTTAATGCTTTTATTATTTTTCATATGTGATGCATGAAGATTTGTTTTCTATGTAAAATGAACAAAAACTAGAAATTGTTAGTGAACTTGAGACACAAGAATGTCGGTTTGTCATGTATGACAAGTCAAAGGACTCCTCAGGTGCTCGTAGACACGGTTATTTTCAGTTTTAGCACGATATGTTCCTGTGAAAGACATATTCTTGCTTCAACATTCATTTTGTGTGATATAAAAAGATTACAAGTGAATAAGGCATTTAAAACGAGTTTGATAATCCTATGAAAAGTTCACAATGCCATGGTACAAAGATAAATGTGTATCACATTTTCAGAAAACTATCTAGAATTGCACATTAACATAACATACACTAATCAGCCCCCACAAACTCCTTTAACAGGAAAGCAACTTGACTGCAACAGAACTATAAATCTCTGAGAAGTAATAATGTTAGCTAACCCCAAATACTTGAACATCAGATTTTTAAAGCTGAATTATGATAATAAAAATGTTTATATTCTTGCTGCATTGTAAAACTGTGAAAATGGACTTACTGAGTTCAAGGAAGCATATCGAAAAACACGATCCTCATATAGCATGTCATCATCCTCCCTTCCGAGGACCAAATCCCTCACAGATTCGACCAACCCTCTCTCCGGAATCATCTCACTAGGACCTGCCTGTACACCTTCTCTGGATTTCCCAAGTTCATCACTGGAATCTTGAACCCATGATGAACCATTGACATCCTTTGTTCTGTCTACAAGCCAATCTTCCCACCTCCTATTCTCTTCATTGCTCATATCTTCCTGGGCTTCTCTCAATTCAATGATTGCCTCTGCTCTCCTCTTCCACACTTCAAACTTCTCACCCTCAGATAACTCGTCTTCGCCCGAGCTCTCCGGTGCCTCCTCTTCAACTTCAAGCATATCCTCATCCCTCAAACCAAGCCAATTTCCATCCTCATCGAAAAAGAACTTCTTCCACCAACTTCTCTTCCTTGAATGACTTTTCTTTGCATAAGGAATCAACCCACCAAACCTCTTCCTTCCCCGACTTAATTGAACAACAATATTAGACAAATTATGTGAATATAACAACGATTTGTGACAAACGCTTCGATTTGAAAAGACTAAGTTTTCACATAAGATCATTGAAGTGCTCATTAAGAACAAATAGAGAACCCAACATCTTTCAGCCTCGTAAAGAAGTAGGCCAGTTCCAACTCAGCTCACAGAAATTCAAATAACAAATAAATAAAAACATTGGAATGGAATCAATTCAAGATTGTTATTCCACAAAATTCAAGACGTTCCTCGTAAGAGACCACTAGCACTCAACATGCCCAAAAGTTCACAAACCCTAAAACCCTAAACCCATCATAATGAAGCTGAAGAAATGATTGATAAAGAACTAGAGAGAGAGTGGTAGGAGAGTACTTTGGTGCAAAGCTGTGACTTGTTTTCTTCAAAGCCTTCTGATCTTTGTTGTGGGGTTTGGTTATCTGATTTCACTTATTCTGGACTCAGATGCTAAAAAGGAGTGATAAAATTTTTGATTAGATAAAAAGACTTTATTAACCCTTTATCGCCATTCTACCCTTTTGGTTCTGAGGACATCCAATTGGTTTTCTGTGTTTTCATGGATTGGCATCCAAGTAATTTAATTGGAATCTCGGGGGTGATGCGGACTAAAAAAATCTATTTGGCTTAGCTTTATTTTTTGGTCAGTACACCAATTACGTTCTTTACTAGAAATTATTCCAACGCTTCTGACACTGCTTTTGGGTAATTTACGCCGCTGTTTCTATTAGTAGTAATATAATTTAACGCGTTTTTTTGTCTGAAGTTTATGAATACCCACGTAGATTCATATGTTAATGAATGGAAACTCTTAGACGTGTTCAAAAACATAAAATTTGTAAGCTTATATAAATTTAGGATGCTGACTCACAAACATAAATTTATTAAAGCGATTTTGGACACAAGGTCAAGCATGAACCAAACACCTATCAAGCTTACTTTTTTATTGGCCGAGTCAAAATAAGTGAAGTATAGGCCGAGTCCGATCTTTTCAAAATGGGCTGATCCTAAACAACCTTATGAACTCGTCAGGATCTTCAAGTTGAACCCAAAATTGAATGACCCAATTCTTCTCATTTTTGGATATCTTACTTTCAAAAACAAAAATGATATTTTAGAGAAAGAAGCATTAACACTGGCCTCTATTGAGATTTTTCATTGTTACACTTATAGCTCTCCTCTGTTCTCCTCATGCCAAAATGTGCACCGTGTGAAATAAACATTAAAGAACAAGTAAGATTTCAGTAATATATATATACATATATGTGTGTGTGTATATCATATAATACTTTTATTTCGTCTAAGGGAAGTGTAACATTGAAAGCAAACAGGTCTCTCATCTAATGAAGCCAATGAATGACGAAGAGAATAGCAAAAACTGAGTTCAATTGTATGGGAAGATTATACAATTGAACAAAACATCACAATCTCTCTGTAATTACCATTTAGGAGGCAGTTCAAGCATGTAATACACTAAAACCAAATCACGCATTTTTGTTGTGTGAACTATTGGCTTACTAAGAGTGGAGGTGTGTTAGACTGTTAGGTCTTTCATACTGGATTCATAATGAACAGTAGATGCATAATAGTCTCATGTTACTCCTTTCACATTGAGGCAAGTTGTACGTGGACTAAGACCTTGCTACACGTTCTCAATCTGCAGCTTGACTCCACTGAAACCTTTTCTTTTTTTGTTTTTTTTCCTCTTACTCTCGCGGCTCTCCTCCTTCCACAACTAGCTTACTTCAACGTGTATTTCAGCCCTGCCACAAAATACTCATTCTCCATCTCGGTTTTGCTGAATGGCAGTTCTTTTTAGTCCTCTTACTCACACTCCTCTCCTCTTTTAATGTTGAGCTAAGTTGCACGCAGATTTGGTTATGCTACCAATTATCATTCTCCAGCTCAATTTTGCTGAATCCATAGCTCTTTCTTAATCCTCTTACTCTCATTTCTCTCCTCACTTGTTCCACTCCAAACCAATTACCAGATTCAGCATAAACCATACTCAACAACGTATAGTTGGCAGCATTTTCTGGTTCCAATTTTATAAGCCGATGTGCCAGCATCTCTGCAACCTCCAATCTTCCGTGAATCTTACAAGCTGAAATCAAGGAGCTCCAAATTCTTGTGCTTGGTTTTATGGACATCATGGTCACAATCTCATAAGCATCTTCAAGCTTCCCTGCCTTTCCAAGAAGATCAATGTAGCAAGCATAATGCTCTGTAGTTAGTAATATTTTATCATCTTTTACTGCTTCAGCAAAGAGCTTCTGTCCCTCTTCAACAAGGCCAGCATGGTTGCAAGCTGACAAAATGGCAAGGTATGTGATTGCATCTGGCTCCAACCCCAGCTCTTGCATCTCAAGGAAGAGTTGCAAAGCTTCCTCCCCATAACCATGCAGGGCATGTGCATTGATAAGCGCGCTCCATGAAATAGGATCCTTCACAGACATTTCTTTAAAAATTTTATGAGAATCCATGAGACAACCGCACTTCGAATACATATTAATAAGGGAATTGGCAATGAATGTTTCATAACTGAAGCTGGATTTCAAGATATAGCCATGGACTGCACGTCCATGGTTTACAGAAGCTAGATTGGTGCAGGCAGAAAGTACTGCCAATAGTGTTACAGAGTTGGGCTGAATTCCCTCCATTTGCATTTGATGGAAATGCTTTATTGCTTCTTCTGCAGTATCCCGGGTCTGAGAATAGCTAGCAATGATCGAACTCCACATCACAACATCTTTTACTGTTGATCTTTCAAAAATTAGCTTGGCAGGTCGTAATGCTTCCCTGCATTTGCAGTACATGTGTATGAGAGCCGAGGAGAAAAGGAATTCTGAATCAAACCCATGACGGAAAGCATACCCATGAATTTCTCTCCCATGCTTAATAGAACCTAACTCAGCACAAGCTGGTAAAACTGCAATCAGTGTTACTCGGTTGGGCTTAATCCCTTCAAGCTGCATTGCTCGAAAGCAGTCAAGTGCAATATCATAATCGTGATTAGCAGCGCAACCCGATACCATGCTGGTCCATGAAACCTCATTTTTGCTCTCCATCCGATCAAAGACACAAAAAGCCATTAATGAATCATTACACTTCATATACAGGCCAACCAATGCCGTCCAGTGAAAAACAGAATCCTCAATCCTTTCATCAACAACAAGAACAGCATGAAATTCTCTGCCTAACCTCAACTGTCTTGTCCGGGCACATACAGATAAAATGCTAGCAATCAACTCGGGTTTTGGTATAAAACCCAACACATACATTTCCTTGAACATGTTCAATGAATCAACAAAGTACCCATTTTGGACATAGCAATTTATCATTGAATTCCAAGAGATGGAATCTTTATGAGGCATTGTATCAAACATCTTACGCGCACATTCAATGTCTGAAAACTTGGCATACATGGAGATGACAGAATTGGATATAGTAGGGTCCAAATCAGAGCCTGTTTTGAGGACAATGCAGTGCATTTGAAGACCGAAATGATGGTTTTGAGCATAAGAACAAGCTTTGATGACTGAAGGAAGAATGGCGGTGATTCCATGGAATTGGGAAGAAGAGGGATGGAGATGTTCTTTGTAGAGTTTTAGTGTTTGGTCATACAGTCCTTTCAAAACCAAATCTTTGACTCTACTGTTGACATCCGAGATTGATAGGGAGGTGCCCGCAATGGATGTGAACCGTCTGATCAGATGATGAAGCATTTTGGATGATGCAATATTTTGTCCATGTTTGATTTCATGTGTTGCTCCTCCTCAAGTTCTTCAGAGCTTTTGTTGATCCAATTATTTATACGTCGGTCTGATTCTATATTTTTCAAGAGTAATTGATACAAAAAAGTGACGGACGGGATAGTTTTTGTTGCGATTTTAATGAATAGAGTTTAACAAGATTCTTTGCAGTAACTACCACATCAATTCGATACAAACACCCAATAAAATTCTCTCTCTCATGATGACAATTGTCTAATATTTTTGTTACAATCATTCAAAAATGATAAAAATATATATATTCGTTCAAATATTTTTGTTATTGTATTTTAGTTAAAAACAAATTAAATTAATATATTTTCCTTCTCATTTCATCGAGTGAGTGGAAATGTTCGACTCCCTATTTTAGATATATTTTTGGTGAATTTATAACATTTTTTTTTTTTTTTTTTTTTTTTTTTTCAAATTACGGACATAGACTAGATTATTTTTTATTTTATTTTGGAAGACGCAAAATCAGAATGAATCAAAACAAAAACTACTTCCAATATTAAGTTCAAAGTTTGAACCATATAACTTCAATTCCAATTAAATGAAACCTAATTGAAGTCTTCATTATTTATTTAATTATTTATTTTTCAGTTAATAGTTAATAAGTTAAGACATAACACAATGTAACATATTCATAATGCGAAAATATAAATTTTGCTTGGACTTGCAAACATTTTAGAATTGCAGCAAAAAAGGAAATCAAAGCATTATTGATAAATTAATAAATTAAAATGATTGATGATGGGTCCTTAGAAAACCCATCTGGGGATGATGCAACCAAAACCACCACGAGGCTGCTGCCGGCTGCGACATGAAGACTTAGACGGCCAAACCTCAGCTCTTCTCCCCGTCTTGCGAACAGCTTTGATCACAATCTTGCGGTCCACATACCCCAACACCGTGATCTTGTTCAATACCACATCTATTTCCACGCATGTAACCCCTGTAAATACATACCATATTATATTATATATACATATGTATATACTACATAACAGTGCATGCCTGTGTGTGACTCTCTGTAACGTGCTGCCTGGCCAGCCTATAAAGTCTCAACTCTACAAGACTACTAGTGACATTCTATATATGCGCATCTTAACATCTATATTTATATGACATTTTGAAATATGGTGTCACATTTTTGGGCATAAAATTTGACACATTTGTTCCTAATATTACTCCTATTCTGGCTCCATTTTTCCATTTTATGTACCTGTTTTCATTTTCAACAAGAAAGATGAAGGAGAAAATAAATAAATTGACATACCTTTGATCTTGCACAAGGTTTTTCGGACGGCCTTTTCACATGCCTTGCAGTGTAGGCGTACCTTTAACTCAACAACCTGCAGTACAGCATATATTTATTATTAGTCTCATGATTCAGCTTAAATATTGGTTGGAAAAAAGAAACCAGAAAAAAAAAAAAAAAAGATTTGGAAAAAAATGCAGAGACCTCCATGAGATTAGAGAACTAGAATTGCAATAAACATAAGTTGAACTTGCTAATGCAAAAAATAGTGGTATGTGTGTGTGTGTGTGTGTGTGTGTGTGTATAGGAGTCTTGGTGATGTAATTAGAAAGCAAAGGTGAGGCAAATGATTGTTGGTTCATCATGGCTCATTATGCATAGTAGCATGCGTGTGACTGTGGATGTAGTTAATCCTAAATTACACACATTCTTGAGATAAATTAATGTTAGGTACTTAATTCTTCATTTATTTAGCAGCCACAAGTGGATGTGTAGGCCTCTTGGACCTTATGTCTTAAATGGACATGGAAGGCCCAATTGCTTGGCCCTTTTCAACTTCAGGTTGGGCTGTAGTTTGACTTCAAAATTCACCCTTGGTGCTTAACTTTGCATCCACTTCATATCTGCCTGTGTTTTGAGTCTCTTGACACGCACCCCCACACACCTATTTTTTTTTTTCGCGCTATTTCAATTACTAGCGTCCAACAAAAACTCTTTATTAGTAATGATTGATATGTTTTTTTGTTATTTCAATCACTATTATTCAACAAACACTCTTAATTGGTAATGAAGAAGGACACGTCTCTCTCATTTTAAAGTGTTCAAATTTATAATGGGCACATTAGTCGATGATAATACTGGCTTTCATCATTTTTCTTTTGACACCAGACAAGTATATGTGAAATTCGATGCTCATTTTTTTTCTCTCTCTCGGCAAGGTGTTAATCTTCTATGACTATTTCAGTCACTATTGTCCAACAAAAACTCTTAATTAGTGATGAATAAGGACATATCTTTCTCCTTTCAAAGTATTCAAATTAACGACGGATATATCAGTGAATAATAATACAGGCTTTCATTATTTTCATTTTTCTTTCCTCTCAATCAGGGGTAAGGTGCTAATCTTCTATGTGGCGTTTAGTGGAAGATTACATTCCCAATTTTATTTTTCCAAACATAATAGAATTTTTTTCCTCTCACATCAGCATATGTTATACCAAATCATCATCCTCAACCCATACTTCAATTAAACCTGCCTAGCAGAAATATTCATTCATAAACTCCATCTACCATGCAAAGAAGACTTTGAAGCAAATCTATCTGCAGCCTTGCCTAAGAATTGTAAATGTTTGTCTTCTAGAATGCAAAATTAGAATTGGATTGGGCTTATGCTATTCATAAGTTACTCCTATAAAACAGACTGCTAAAATTAAATAAGAACTCACAGAACCCTCCACAAAAAGAGAATGAGGCCTACTGCAAAACCCCATGTTTGTTGAATACTGCACAATCTCTTTCCAGCACTCCCATAGTACGGTTGGATCATGATCGCGAATCTGCAGCTTCCGACTAAAGGATCTGTTTTTGTGACCATTAAAACGTTCAGAAATTTGTAGGCTTTTTCAAGCTGATTATTTATTTGGTAGTAACTATTAAATGCATATGAAATGTTCCCCATAGCAACCAAATTCCCACAAGTTGTCTGGTAGCCCAGGCTTGTGCAGTTAGCACGTCCACAAGCATAGCTCACACTCGGTGCCATGTTTGGATCATCAGGCCTTACTGATGGCTTCATCACACGCCACTTTCGCTCTAGATACTGCACACCCTTTGCCGGGACTAAAGCTCCCGAATTCATGGTACCGAATCGAATGTAAATATCCCCCAGTGGCGCTCAAAATTCCCTGGCTGAATACTCTTGGCATCCTTATCAATCAAACTAAACAAGTAGGCATCAATGGGGTCAGGTCTCATTGGGGTTCTTTTCCCGCCCGATATATGGGACATGAACCTTGGTTAAACCGTTTGGCATAGTCTAGGTTAGCATTTGGATCTCCATCAGTCGGCCAACCAATTTCTCCAACTATTATGGGTAGATTTCCAATCCCATTTTTTTGTATTGCCCACATAAGAGTATCATGATTTGCATCAAACATGTTGTAATAGGTTGTGCCACCATCAGTTAAAGGAAATGCATTGCCATTAAAGAAGGCATACTAAACGGGAAAATTGGAGTCGGTGTAAAGGCTTATGAAGGGGTAGATGCTGCGATAAAGGGGCCACCATTATCGCTCAAGTACTTAACTATGGCAAGCATGAGGTCATGAATGTCGAGTCATAAATTGCCCCCAGATGGAATGTCAGTTGAGTTCTTGTAGACATTAGTATTGAGGGGGACTGTGACTTTCACTTGATTGCTAAGACTAGCTTTTATCAGGGCAGATTGGACGTTCTGGAGAGCATGGAATGTTATTCTGAGAAAGCTTCCATTATATGTTTCCAAGAAAGGTTCATTTACAACTGCAACATACCTGTAAAATTAAAAAGGTTGGTTGTATAGAAGCAAGGTCAAGAAAATGCTAACATTTACAACACTCAAGAAGGCCCTTTCCCTTTTGACAAGCTTAAACTGTACATTGAATCAGAACGCATCAATAAAAATGAAAGAAGTAAAGTTGCACATTTTGGAACTGTAAGGTAAGTGTTGCCACTTACCTATATAACATGAATAAGAAATAAGACATAAAGCAAATAGATACTGTTCAACTGCCTTTTCAAGAGTCAAGTTGTGTTTATTAATTAAGCCCACTATGACAATAATAATGTTTTCTAGACCTAAGGGTCCAACCAAAGAAGTGGGCTGAGTGATTGCCCAGGGATTTATAAGGTGGGGTTCACATAGGTCTCATTAAAATGACTCGGCACACTTCCGAATACCACTAATCTTATGACAATTGGTTGATCTAAAAAGATAATCTACCTTGATGGCTTCGATTATTCTGACAAATCTCCTACCTTTAGTAAAGTGTAATATCCCCTCATTACAGCCAAAATTAAAAAAAATTAAATATTAATAAATTGGTTGACCGTTTTACTTATTAGTATGTTGCCAAAGAAGTATCCTACAGATTGGGCCCCAGCATAACCTTTTTAACCATTATACAACAATTTGTATCAATGTTTGTTATGTCTTATTTTCATAGACCTTTGTGTGTGATTTACTTAATCTTAAAAGAATAAGGGTATTTTTATTACACCTTTTTAAGAAAGGGGGTGAAAATGCTACACATTGTATATATTAGAGGTGTTTTATACATTTAACCTTAAAAATTATTAGATGATTTTAGACCACTTAAATAATTAACTTGCCATTAAAAGGGCAAAATGTGACTTCTCTTCATTTTATTGAAATTGAATTCAAAAAATCAATTCAGATTCCAAAATTGAATTTAAATTTTGGTAGGAAAATTTCAAAACATTGGATAACTACACATTTATACAATTCCCATTAGTGACCCTAAAAATTGGTACAACCACTCCCAACCCAAAAGGATAATCTCATTTTAGACTTGATATGAAAACCACTTCCCTTCTTCCACTTTCTATTATACTCTCCATTTTTTTTTCATATCTTCCCTCCAAAAACATAGTTCAATGCCATTGCATCGCCTTTATGAACCCCATGTTGGGTTGTTTATGCCATTGTATAAATAAAAATATGCCCCCACTAGATCAACTGCTCTGGTCTAGAAAATCACGTGGACCATTGGTCAAGTAAATACATTTAGGCTACAGCTGATCCAATCCATCCTGATTAGTGTCCAAATCTACTGGTCCAATTTCACAAAATATGTAGAAACTATTTTGTATGCAAGCCCAAATCAATAGGTGGAGGTGGCCTACCTAGTACTGAAAACCTTCAACAGGGCTGGATGCTAAAACATTTATGACACATTTTATCAAACAGCAACAGCTCAGGGTTTCTATGGGACACCCGACTACCTGATCAGGAACAAGAGGGCTGAAATGCTAAAACATCTATGGCAAATTTCATCAAGCAGCAACAGCTCATGGGTTCTATAGACAAATGAGTACCTGATCAGGAATAGATGCCTATGGGAAATCAAAGCTTAGTGAAGCCATACAAAACTCTGAAATCTCTTTTCCACTCGTGGATCTCCCTCCTTTAACAAACCCATGGTTATTTCTTCCATCTTCTGTCCTCTCGACCCAAACAAGGTCTCAATCTACCCATGGCCCATTCCCGGCATTAGTCCTTTACAGAATTCATGAATCTACATGGGTTGGGACTACTACTTTGGGCTTGGGCTTGATTAGGCTATTCGGCCCATAACCCTTAAAAGGGAAACAACACGAATGCGCGAAGTAGAAATTGGACAGCAAATTTCTAAGCTTTTTTGTTTCTGCAGAGACTGGAACTGAAGTAGTAATTGGACAACAAATTTCTCGGGTTTTTGTTTCTGCAGAGAGTGGAACTGAAGTAGAAATTGGACAGTAAATTTCTCAGCTTTTTTATTTTGCAGAGACTGGAACTGTCGTAAAGGAGAGAGAGAGGAGGAAGTTTTAGAGAGAGAAAATGAGTGATCGATGGGAAGTTTTAGAGAAAGAAAGTGAGGGATTTATTAATTTCCTCTTAGAGAGAGTTTGGGAGAGTTTTAGAGAGAGAAAGTGAGGGACCTCTGAGAGAAAATTTTAGAGAGAGTTTGAGAGAGAAAGTCAGAAAATGCAGGGCCTAATGTCTACCGCCAGTTTGTTCTCTAGAGTTTTTCGCTGTAACACATACTATCGGATATACAGAGAGCTCTGTCATATCACTAAAACTCTAGAGAACAAACTGGTGGTAGACAAAACCTGCCATCGAGGTGTCTCATATATATATATATATATATATATATATATATATATATAAACTTAGTTTTGAGATTTGGGATTTGGGAATTGGGATACCATCTCTGCATATAACTTTTCATCTGATCTTCTTTGGGTATTCCCATTTTTGTTGTATTTTAGCCAATGTTTGACCAAAACTGACGAGGAAGTAAGGGCTTGTCTCCTTCCTCATTTATTTCTTGGGTGTCGATGTAATTGGACATGATCTAGTAGGTTTTGGCCTGTTAGAAGCGGCTCAAATTGAGGTGTGAATATTATGCCTACAAATTAATGTAATGATGTGTTTATTGAAATGGAATTAGTCATTACGTGCTAATGGTGTGCAAGTGCGTGTAGGAAGTTAATGAATTAAATGCATTGAATAACGAAAT